GACATGATTTGCTTAGCTAAGAATTCGCTCACAGTTTTTGATAATAACAGTTTATTGGATTCATAAAGAGGGACAGTAACATGTTCCGTGACACGTGAATACTTATACACGTGAATATAATGTGTAGCGTGTAATCACACGCAAATTGATTAAGAACTTTATTACACGAGAACAAAGTTCAAAACGCGAACTTAATGCTATCTGCATTGTTATCTACTTGGTAATTTTGAGGGATATTTTGCCCAATTGATCTTCCTGACGCCGTTTATGTTGTTTGGGTTCTATCTTTCACTGTCGCTCCAGTTGGCATCTCACTTTGCGTGAAAAAGATAGAAACTTTCGGAACTTCGGATAACGTTGTTTGGGGTACGGTAAGAGCTAAGCTTCAAGTTAATTTCGATTATGACTGAATTGCTCGTCTTCCTCCTGGTTTTTTCTGACTGGTTCCTAACTTTCTGAAGACCTTATTCTATCGTGACCTCAATCCTTTTGACATGAATCTGAAACAAATAATTAAAATTATGTCTTTATTCTAAGTGTAACGGTTAGCGTTACCGCTGACCTTTATCTTAGATCTAAATTCTAATTTAATTACTATTATCTACCTAAATAAATAAACTTAAATAATAATATATCTAAATCTACGTAAACTACCTAACTAAATAACTTAATTAAATAATTCATATTGTTCTACACTAATAAAATAAATAAAATATTAAATCTACAAGCAAACCCGCGCGAAACAAGTTGTTCGAGATTTCTTTTGTTCTCTGTCGAGCGGGCGGGCTGTTTTTTATGTATGCGCAAGCGACGCGCCTACGGCCGCGATGCTCCCGCCGCGTCTCCTAGTCCGAGCCAGAGCGTTATTGAGCACGGACGTATCGCTGTCCGTCACCGCCGGACCCGCGATATATTATTATAGGTAACCTGGTTTAGGGGCCGTTCAAGTATTACGTAAGCACCAAGGGGGGGTGGGGAGGTCTCTGTTTTGCTTATTTTGGATGACATGGGGGTAGGGGGGTCTAGATGATGATTACGTCATCGTTAGTTTTTTACGTTTTTTCGGGGATTCCCGCAAATAATACATATGCGTAGGCACTCGCTTTGAGAACTGATTAGGGGAATTACCGCACATTAGGGAAATTACCGTGCGCTATTCACTTGTCTAATAATTAACTCTCGTGCCGACACTGCCCATTGAAATTTGAGTCTCGTAGTCCGCATATTATTATATTTTTTGGTCCCTTACTCTATGTGTATCAGTTAAACCTAATATTTTCATGAATGTTCCTATTTTAAAAATGACAATATAAAAAACATTTATAACTAAAAATGTTTACGTAAGCATAGGGGGAGGGGGTAAGTGCTTTGCTTACTTTTGATGACAAGGGGGGCGGGGGGGTAAAAAATGGTAAGAAATCTGCTTACGTAATACTTGAACGGCCCCTTAAATAAATTAAATGAAACGATCAATCGAGCTAGTAGGATTTATTTTATTATTCATCAATAATCAAATTCAGAACTTGAATATTCAACTGCAATGTCTGCTCATGAACGCTTCAAACTCGGTACTTCTTTCCCAATTCCATAAAATTCAACACTTAGAAAGTGACAAAAAAATTTAAAATAGGTAGTTGAAACAAACCACAGCTAATTTTCATAGTGGACTGTACTATACGATAAACATGTCAGTCAATTTGACAACTTTTGTCGGAAACATTATTCAATGAAAATATTGTCCGAACCCTTAGTATTTCTCTTCGACAAATACTTTAACACATTGTGAACCACTTTTCTTTCACGACTATAAAAAGATTTTAGCAATTTAATTCACAAAATCAATTGCGCACATTTAAAATAAAGTTTGTTTACACTTTGACAACAATAGACTGACATGCAAGGTGACATGTCAATGAAGTTTTCAGTTACTGTTGCCATTAAAAGAAATTAGTACCATTAGTTTTCCGCAACATGGCGAGGGTTTTTATGTTCCTGGTCAGGCTATACCTCATAATTTTGCAAAATTTTTATTATATTTTTTTATTGCACGTTATTCAATTCTAACGTCCTGTCCAAAATTAAAATCTGTCATTACTAAGTTGACAGATTTGAGTTGTAGGCAATTGGCTACAAACCATAGAGTTTTAATTAAAGTAACAGTTCGTAATAATTTGCGATTGACACCTCTGAAGACACAAATTATTTAAAAATTCAATTTCTTTTTCAGGGCTTCAAAGTGCTGCAAATCCCATACACCGAGTTCAACCCGAAAGATAAGCTAGTGTCCCGCGTGCAATACATCAATACGCGACTACAACAGTTAGTGGGCAACAAGACGGCGTAGTTGTGTATGTATGTGTTGTATTTGTACATATTGTATGTCCACTTTAGTTCAGTGTGTAGTTTGTGACGTCGCCGCTTGGTGGCGCTAGCGGGATGACGTAATCAGAGTAGATTAAAAAGCTGGCTTAAAAAGTCTACGGACTATGGCAGTGAAACCTTTTTCGTATTTTTGCCTGTTTTCTAGTAAATAATTTGACTTTACAACCCTTCAGGCAAAATATTAAAGGAATATAAATGCCTAAAGAAATGTATAAATGCCTTTGTACGTATTTGATGCCAGCTTCGTTGAAAGACCATAGATACAATCAAATTTACTAGTAAATATCGTTTGCAGGAAATGCTTAATTTCATCCAGATTCGTTCATCTTTTAAAACAATAGCCTATTCGTTAGCCTAAAGTATTCATCCATATTGGTATAATTGCATTCTTTATCGATATCATAATCCTGTTTTGTACCTAACTTAGATTATGTATCGATCGTAGAAATAAAAGATTCGATAAGTGACTTGACAAATCACAAGAAAAACCTTGTATTTCATTAAAGAAATGAATGATTTTCAAATAATAATGTATTGTAACGATATACAAGCATTTTAGCTAATGTATGAAAGGAAATAATTGTGATAATCTTTTCTTTTCAATACCTTTGGCTTTAACACTGTTATTTATTTTATTGAATGTTTAGCACAACAATCACTAATTATGTGGGCTGTATTATAATTTATGTATTAGTTAAATTTTGTATAGTTCATTGTGACTGCGTGGTTAATTTGAATAAAAATCAGAATAACAAAAATCTTGAAAGAGAAATCTTGTACGATAGGTTAATATAAAACAGACACACGAGACACGGTGAACTGTTTTAAGTTTTTGACAACTTTCCCCTTAGACTCTGTATTTGGTAATATTGGACCTGGTTGCCGCGCTCATTATCTCTAACTAAATTATGAAATTAGAGGAGTACAGCTATATTTGTGAGATTTGGTGAGACATAATATTTTATGTCAAATGAGACGTCTTTTTTCTGTCAAATGTAACTGACGGATTTTGTTTGACAGTTGCGATTTAACACTACATTTGGTACCTTATTTCCTTACAGTAAGTTGTAAAAACAATAAAATAGAACTCGCTATGCCTGATTCAGGGTTAATAGTATTTTATCGTAGAACGATGTTAATTTCTTAATTTTATGTGTACTTGATTTTTGTAATGAGAGATTATTTCCAAGGACTAGACCGACTTACACTGTGAGAGTATTTGTACATTTTCTAGTATCCTTTGCTTTTAGGCCAGTAGAATTAAACACAAAAATTGATTAAATCGGAAATAATTCCTACAAAAGACTTTTTTGCTTTAATGGCTTCATTGGTTGCCCATTAAGACTCTCCTAAGTTTTCGACTTCGACGGAGTTGTGCTTAAGTGGTGGGGGCCCCCGAAAGGGGCGTTTTTTCGGTTTTCCGGTTATACCGCGTAAAGGACTTACCCTATCGAAAAGTGGTCTTCATGACGGTTAAAGGGCACTTAATCCTGCATTGAATAAGACCAAGGAAGAGGGGCAGCCACAGTAGGTAACACAGAGTCGTTCAGGTGAGTGCCAGGAAGAGGTGCAGCAACCGCAGTTAAGGAACGGCTGGGACGAACAAGGATATTTTCAAGACTTGGAAGCCTGTGGGTAACAAACCATTGGACGTGGAGAGGGTCATTAATTATACGTATATTTTCTACTTTGCCGAACTATAGCGCGAGAACGGTTTGTCCAAAACATATGAATTTGGTCTTATTCAATGCAGGATTAAGTGCCCTTCAACCGTCATGAGACCACTTTTTGATAGGGTAAGTCCTTTACGCGGTATAACCGGAAAACCGAAAAAATGCCCCTTTCGGGGGCCCCCACCACTTAAGCACAACTCGGTCGAAGTCGAAAACTTAGGAGAATCTTAATGGGCAACCAATGAAGCCATTAAAACAATAAAATCTTTTGTAGGAATTATTTCCGATTTAAAAGCTAATTAAATAGTACTGGACTATTTCTTTCTTCTTCAAAAACTGTGTGGTCGATAAAACTTATACAAATTGTTATTTTTTGTCACGCGTGATATTGTGTACATTGGGAGAATGTATAGTTGTTAATATTATTTAAATAAACGACAAACTCTTAAAAATAGTTTTTATTTATGAAATAAACATTAATCTAGATTTATATACAACAATTTCGCCTACGATGCTCGGTTTTTATAAATGATTACTCTTGTCTTTTACAAACACATTCTTTATGTCATAAAATCATACTGGTATTTTTTCTAAGACCCCCAAAAGATAAATTGATCAATATAAAAACCGAGCCTAAAGGATATTACCGGAGGAAAACTAGCACAAATATTGTTTTGACACTTGAAACAGCCTTGATCAGTGAAGATACAGAAGTCCCAGAGGATTAGTTTTTACTACTACAAGACAGGCTTTGCTTAGCTAAGAATTCGCTCACAGTTTTTAATAATAACATTTCAGTCGATTCATAAAGGGGGACAGTAACATGTTCCGTGACACGTGAATACTTATACACGTGAATATAATGTGTAGCGTGTAATCACACGCAAATTGATTAAGAACTTTATTACACGAGAACAAAGTTCAAAACGCGAACTTAATGCTATCTACTTGGTAATTTTGAGGGATATTTTGCCCAATTGATCTACCTGACGTCGTTTATGTTGTTTCGGTTCTATCTTTCATTGTTGCTCCAGTAGGCATCTCACTTTGCGTGAAAAAGATAGAAACTTTCGGAACTTCGGATAACGTTGTTTGGGGTAGCCCCGCTACGGTAAGAGCTAAGCTTCAAGTTAATTTCGATTATGACTGATTGCTTGTCTTCCTCATGGCGTTTTCTGACTGGTTCCTTACTTTCTGAAGACCTTATTCTATCGTGACCTCAATCCTTTTGACATGAATCTGAAACAAATAATTAAAATTATGTCTTTATTCTATGGGTCCTCATTTTTCGCTTTCTTTTTGTGCTCTGTTATCGATGCGCAAGTGTAGTGGGTACAGGAAAATAAAACACCTTTACACACCTTCTGCAAGACTCATAGTGGCTAGCAGCTACCACCATATTACCTAAGTTACGGCGACAGGCCCTAACAAGAATGTTAACAGCATTGTTGTGTTCCGGCAGTTAAGAGGTAAGATAGCCAGTTCCTTTGTGTTTAAGGATTCCGGGTGAAGGTCGCTTCCACCTTTGGCCTGATCGTCACTTTCCAGCACGTGATATGCAGGCCAAAATTCAATCGTTGTGAATAAAAATAAAGTTTCTACTCACTTAGTAACATTTCTGAAGAAGTCCGTGACTAGTATGACGACGTCATAAAAGAGTTTGAGTTTGACGATCTGCGGCGGCATTGGAGGTATAGTTCTTGTCACGAAATAACATTCCTAAAGAATAGATAGTAGGTAGAGTTTTTACTCACGAAGTAACGTTCCTAAAGAAGTCCGTGACGAGTTTGACGACGTCATCAAAGAGTTTGACGATTTGCGGCGTGTGCAGCGACGCGGAGACAGGCTTGAAGACTACGTGGTGGTTGAGCTTCTGTAGCGATCTGAAGTTGTGCCGGCCAACCCCTACTTTGCCGAACATGCGGTACTGGGGACAAATGAGTCATTAAGCTATATCAAAAAAATCCGCGGTCAACATAAACTATGCAGTATTGCAGCAACTTCTGTCTGATCAAAGTATATAAAATTATTCAGCATACTTTATTTCGAAATTTCCAATCTATTGCCGTAGACTATTTATTGTTACGTAAGAAGTACGATAGCACATAAGAGCCCTTTTGCATTGCGACTTTTTGTAGGGATACAAACGTGATTCAGTCGCGACGCAGCATCGATACAGTCGCAAAACATACACGCGATTCTAAAAGCAGCGATTCAATCGCAGTTGTGCGACTGTGCTCTCTCTATCTCTAAGTAATAAACTCCCTAAATACTGTGCCCTAAGCAATGAGCTAAACAAATACCTACTGTAGCGTTTTATGTAGCGTCATAAGCAGTACCTACTAAAGATACTACATTGAAAATTCTTCCTGGAATCGATCCCAGGACTCTAAAACAGGTTCCAACTCACGTCAGCATCAGACAGGAAGATGGGCGTGTCGAATATGATCCAGATGACGGCCTCGTTGCACTCCGGCGACGTGAGCGAGCCCGCGTACGTGTAGTACGACTGTTGGTTCGGGCTTAGCAGCTTTCTGGGAAGAAAACAAGAATATTAGACGTACAATTTTGCAGCAGCAGAAAAATAGAAACTCTTTTTGAATTTTGATTCCAAAGACAAAGGATTTCTGCTTTAACAGTCCTCTTAGTCCTATGTTGTAGTCGAAGGACTATGAATAAAGTCCAACAATGTATTTGATAATAAAATATCCTTTATTTTGCTTTAGTTTAACACAAACAATTCTCCCGTGACACTGTTGATGACATGGCAATTTTCTTCTTTTTTATTTCTTTTTAGTATTAAACATTATCATCACAAAGCCTGTATGTACTAGGTAATGTAGGTGCCAACCAGTCGACGGATATAAACATGACAAATTATAGAAAACACTTCAAAAGTTCCATTATGCACAAAGATTGTAGAATTGATAGCCGTAGGCCAGAAAGTTCAAAGAAAGTCAAAGCCTAAATTCCTTGATTTGCATGGACTATTAAATAGTGCTCACAAAATTCCTGCGTGGCACCACCGGACCGGAAAATGCATTGTCGGCAGGCCTCCCACTCGATATTGGACTGACTATCTGGTGAAATGGTGGCTTTGGACTGATTGTTGTGAAAATCCCTTGAGAGAGGTCTTTGTCCGGCAGTGGATGGCTGTAACGATACTGATGATAATAAGAAAACATCAAAGCATAGAGTACTTACAACGCCGTAAGCGCGTTCAAGGCAATTAATTATTATTTTTTTAGTTTTTGATAACCCTCGAACCTACCTATGCTTACCTTCAGCTCCAACCAATTCATTACGATAACTGGTTTGTAATAAGCGCCAGTAAATTCCTCCACTTGACCATCTTCCTAATTAAGTATTCCGTAAACGGTTTCCTTGTTAAAACTGATTAAAGACGAAATTGTCAATTAACGGGCGTAGGTATAAAGGAGTACCTCGCATATTACCTACTGAGGAAATGCCAGAGCGTACTTTTGTAATTTATGTAAGTAGGTACCTATACATTAGGTACTAGGGTCTGTCACCCGCTGCTATATTGGGGTGTAGGGTGACTCACGCCACAGTTGGTTTGCATTTTATTAAAAACGTAATTCAAGTTAAGCTACATATTCCGCGGTGTGAGCTCCGAATCCAACGAGAACGAGCTCAAACTCGATGGGGTTGTGTTGTTTTAGTGCGGAATTTCTATGGCTACCTTCCAACTCTATCATCAGACCCTGGTTACCTTATAAGATTGAAGTACTCATTATTACAAATCAAACGAGCACATGGGCTTGTGTCGTTTTATTGTGGAGTTTCTTCCTTCCTTTCAGCTATATTATCATCAGATCAACTCCATGACATCATAATATTATTGCATTGTCACTTGATTTACACATCAGTTCAATGGAAAACCGGCAAAAGGGTCTTTAATTTGCAAGATTTCATTACAGACTCCTGACAGGTTAAAGTAAATAAAAGCTTGTAAAAATGAAAGCCTTTCCTCTTGAGGAGTCATCATCATCATCATTTCAGCCACAGGACGTCCACTGCTGAACATAGCCCAATGATCTCCAAATCGCCACATCTTGAGGATTGAAGTTACTGAATTCGTCTGAGTGAAGGTAACGTCGTAGGAATTTATAACGTGCAAGAAAACCATTTAATTTCTTTAAAAATAGCTCCTCTTCGTCTTACGGGCAATAAGGAAGCTTAACAAGTGGTAAGAATGCTAATATGGTAAAAGCTTCCTCGGAACTTTTATGTGGTTGACATTCAGAAGATAGGTACGACGACGGAATCGCATGCCATACCTACAACCTACCCGCCTATGGAAAATTACGATATTCTTATTATTTTTGGTAGTATCACAATCATTTTATTTATTTAAATAATTGCATGATTCGATAAAGACACGTTTTGATCAAACCTTTGTGGAAAGTAATTTGGACAAAATGCTTATTCTACAAAGAAATTTATTTTGTATTTAAATTGAGTAATGCAGTTTTGACGATTGAATAAACTATAGCGAGAGCGACACCCCTACGTTTTTAGGCTATTATCGCTCGCTCAGGACTCGAGTTGGCCTTTTTATTTGTTTTTTCTATGGTATAATTGTTTGCTACATGTAAAAGCTCACAAAAGGATAAAATTGAGACTGATGTGTAGAGTAGGTAGGTACTTACTTTTACTTGTAGTTGATAAACTTGATAATAATTCATTGATAAAATCCTAATTATAGCATTGACCTTCGAAGGTAAGAATTTCAGGAGCGGCAACTCTAATAGTAGGTAATTTATTGGCAGTTATCAATAAAATCATTACAAGACTTTATCTGCGACATTAATTGGCGTTTTGGATTAAAATGTAAGTAGTCATACCTAATACCAGTCATTCTTACTAGCTTAGTCATGAATGTTTTCATTTTTTTGGTCAAACTTGTGATGATGTAGGTAGAATGAATCTCATTTATAGGACTTAACTACTTGGTCATAATATCTCTCTCTAGTTATTATGTATTTTAAAAACTCAGAGTAGAACTATCCTAATTAGAATGAATAAAAGAAATATAACGTTTCTTCCGTTTATTCTACAACTTGGTCGAGTTAACTGCGCATCTGGCAGCCGTGACGTCACATCGACGCTCTGGTAGAGCACAGACGGGGCGAACGCAGTGAGTTGTGCGGGTAAGTGCGAGAGAAATTCGTATTCCAGCGAGATGCGCCGTTAACTCGATCGGGTTGTAGGCTGACAATGGCGTTCGTACTCACGTCATGGCAATGGGCAGGGCACATAGCACGCAGAACTGACAGCCGATGGGGCAGCAAGGTTCTGAAGTGGAGGCCGCGTACCGGAAAACGTAGCGTGGGACGTCCATCCACAAGGTGAACCGACGACATGATAAAGGTAGCAGGATGGCGCTAGACGCAGGCCGCTACCAATAGATCAGCATGGAAATCATTGGGGGAGGCCTATGTTCTGCAGTGGACGTCCTATGGCTGAAATGATGATGATGACTCACGTCATGTCCATCAGGACCCCGCTGATCCTGTCTCCGGTCTCCAGGAGCTTCGGGATGTACTGCATGATCTCGTCCGACGCCTGCTGCTGTCGGTCGTCCAGCTCTGCCTGGACCTACGATATATTTGTTTTATTAGATTGAACTCCAGAGTGAGTGGAATTGGTAACATTTTACAGCTTCTACTTTTTAAGCCACTGGCGTAGGTGTTCGACTTGGCATAACCGAACCGATCGCCTTTGAAGCAGGGAATCATATTTTGAGACAAATCCTACCTAAGAACTGTGTGTTACCAGTGATAACTTATGGCTCGGAAACGTGACCTCTCACTATAGGCCTTATACAGAAGCTCAAAGTTGCACAGCGTGCTGTGGAGAGGGCTATGCTCGGTGTTTCTTTACGGTATCGAATTAGAAATGAGAAGATCCGTAAACGAACTAAAGTCGCAGACATAGCTCGACGGATTAGCAAGCTGAAGTGGCAATGGGCAGGGCACATAGTACGCAGAAGAACTGAGCTCAGAATCTTTAAATTGAGAGAATTAACTCTGTCAGCTGTTGAGTCTATATGTCTCTAAAGTCTCTATGTAAAGAGGGAATGAAATACTTTGCGTTTATGTGTGATTTTCTACTCACGTTGCAAAATACAGAGATGATGGCCAGCCCATCCTTGCTGACCAAAGCATCTCCCACGTTGAGATCCGACCGCACGTGGACGAAGTGGATTTCCATGGGAAATCTGGAAAGACGTAGTAAAGTAGTGTAGGTAAAATCTAAGAGTTGGCTTGTATCTTAAGAGGCAGGAACCATGGGTGGAAGATGTGTTAATTGCCAGGAACTTTGCTTATAATTTTGTAAGTATAAGTTCCTGGCAATTACACATGTTATGCCGCCCGTGGGTGTCGGATGGATGGCCTCCTCGCCCTATGAAGCTGGATGCAGTAGAAGGAGAGCATCTGGCCCAGTGGCTCCTGTCTAGACTGTCAAGAGCATGTCTCACTTAATGCCGTTGATGGAGTGCTCGGACAGCCAGTGGAAGTGCAGTTGCGGGTGGATGGCCTCATTGCCCTCCGAGCTAAATGCACTGGAAGGAGAGCATCTGGCCTAGTCAGCTCCTGTCTGGATCCTGTCAAGAGCATGTTTCACTTGATCCCGTTGACGGAGTGCTCGGACAGCCAGTGGAAGTGCAGCTGCGGGTAGATGGTCTCCTCGCCCTATGAAGCTGGATGCAGTAGAAGGAGAGCATCTGGCCCAGTGGCTCCTGTCTAGATTGTCAAGAGCATGTCTCACTTGATCCCGTTGACGGAGTGCTCGGACAGCCAGTGGAAGTGCAGTTGCTCCAGCCGGTAGCGGTGCTCCAGCGGTCCTCCCGTGAGCGTCGGGTGGATGGCCTCCTCGCCTTCCGAGCTGAATTGAACTGGAAGAAAAACATCTCTGACGCCCGTATTCACAAACGATGCTTGCTTCTTTCGTTTCAGCCGAAAGACGTCCACTGCTGGACAAACGCCTCCCCCAAGGATCCTTCCCTTGATTTTAGCGATTCTGCGGGCTATGTCAGTCAAAGTCAAAATTTATTTATTTGTGTGGACTAATAAATAGTTCTTGCAAATCGTCATTTTGCTCTTAAGGAGCCTCTACATGTCTCATAATCTTTTTACCCTACCAGCGCTTCGAGACCAACATTTCGCAAGTGCTGAGAAGAAGCGCCGCANTTAAAGCCTAAATTCCTTGATTTGCATGGACTATTAAATAGTGCTCACAAAATTCCTGCGTGGCACCACCGGACCGGAAAATGCATTGTCGGCAGGCCTCCCACTCGATATTGGACTGACTATCTGGTGAAATGGTGGCTTTGGACTGATTGTTGTGAAAATCCCTTGAGAGAGATCTTTGTCCGGCAGTGGATGTCCCTTGGCTGTAACGATACTGATGATAAGAAAACATCAAAGCATAGAGTACTTACAACGCCGTAAGCGCGTTCAAGGCAATTAATTATTATTTTTTTAGTTTTTGATAACCCTCGAACCTACCTATGCTTACCTTCAGCTCCAACCAATTCATTACGATAACTGGTTTGTAATAAGCGCCAGTAAATTCCTCCACTTGACCATCTTCCTAATTAAGTATTCCGTAAACGGTTTCCTTGTTAAAACTGATTAAGACGAAATTGTCAATTAACTGGCGTAGTAGGTATAAAGAAGTAATGTACCTCGCATATTACCTACAAAGGAAATGCCAGAGCGTACTTTTGTAATTTATGTAAGTAGGTACCTATACATTAGGTACTAGGGTCTGTCACCCGCTGCTATATTGGGGTGTAGGGTGACTCACGCCAAAGTTGGTTTGCATTTTATTAAAAACTTAATTCAAGTTAAGCTACATATTCCGCGGTGTGAGCTCCGAATCCAACAAGCTCAATCGATGGGGTTGTGTTGTTTTAGTGCGGGATTTCTATGGCTACCTTCCAACTCTATCATCAGACCCTGGTTACCTTATAAGATTGAAGTACTCATTATTACAAATCAAACGAGCACATGGGCTTGTGTCGTTTTATTGTGGAGTTTCTTGCTTCCTTTCAGCTATATTATCATCAGATTAACTCCATGACTTCATTTTATTATTGCATTGTCACTTGATTTAGGTACACATAAGTTCAATGGAAAACCGGCAAAAGGGATTTCATTACAGACATCTGACAGGTTAAAGTAAATAAAAGCTTGTAAAAATGAAAGCCTTTCCTCTTGAGGAGTCATCATCATCATCATTTCAGCCATAGGACGTCCACTGCTGAACATAGTAGCCCAATGATCTCCAAATCGCCGCCACATCTTGAGGATTGAAGTTACTAAATTCGTCTGAGTGAAGGTAGCGTCGTTGGAATTTATAACGTGCAAGAAAACCATTTATTTTAATTTCTTTAAAAATAGCCCCTCTTCGCCTTACGGGCAATAAGGAAGCTTAACAAGTGGTAAGAATGCTAATATGGTAAACGCTTCTCCGGAACTTTTATGTGGTTGACATTCAGAAGATAGGTACGACGGAATTGCATGCCATAGGTACTGTACCTACCTATGGAAAATTACGATGTTCTTATTATTTTTGGTACTTTATTTGTTTGCTACATGTAAAAGCTCACAATAGGATAAAATTGAGACTGGTGTGTAGAGTAGGTAGGTACTTACTTTTACTTGTAGTTGATAAACTTGATAATTCATTGATAAAATCCTAATTATAGCATTGACCTTCGAAGGCAAGAATTTCAGGAGCGGCAACTCTAATAGTAGGTAATTTATTGGCAGTTATCAATAAAATCATTACAAGACTTTATCTGCGACATTAATTGGCGTTTTGGATTAAAATGTAAGTAGTCATACCTAATACCAGTCATTCTTACTAGCTTAGCCAGTTTTCATTTTTTGGTCAAACTTGTGACGATGAAACTACTTGGTCATAATATCTCTCTCTAGCTACCTATTATGTATTTTAAAAATTCAGAGGACTATTCTAATAGGAATTATTAAAAGGGATTTAACATGTCTACAACCCAGTCGAGTAAACTGCGCATCCGGCAGCCGTGACGTCACATCGACGCTCTGGTAGAGCACAGACGGGGCGAACGCGGGGAGTTGTGCGGATAAGTGCGAGGGAGAGTCGCATTCCAGCGAGATGCGCCGTTAACTCGATCGGGTTGTAGGCTGACACTGGCGTTCGTACTCACGTCATGGAAATGGGCAGGGCACATAGCACGCAGAACTGACGGCCGATGGGGCAGTAAGGTTCTGAAGTGGAGGCCGCGTACCGGAAAACGTAGCGTGAGACGTCCATCCACAAGGGGAACCGACGACATGATAAAGGCAGCAGGATGGCGCTAGACGCAGGCCGCTACCAATAGACCAGCATGGAAATCATTGGGGGAGGCCTATGTTCAGCAGAGGACGTCCTATGGCTGAAATGATGATGATGACTCACGTCATGTCCATCAGGACCCCGCTGATCCTGTCTCCGGTCTCCAGGAGCTTCGGGATGTACTGCATGATCTCGTCCGACGCCTGCTGTTGTCGGTCGTCCAGCTCTGCCTGGACCTACGATAGATTAATTTTTTAGGTTGAACTCCAGAGTGAGTGAAGTTGGTTGGCTTTAAATTTCTTCTTTTTGAGCCGTCGCCGTAGGCGTTCGACTTGGCACTAGGATTGATCGCCTTGAATCAATTTTCAAGGTGAGATTGAATAGGTCCTTACAGGGCAGGTATACGTACCATCCTAGACTGCATCTCACTTAATATCAGGTGCGATTGTGGTCAAATACCTGCCTCGCGTTATGCATAAAAAACATATTTTTAGACACACACAAATCCTACCTAGGAACTGAGCTCAGAACCATTAAATTGAGAGAGTTAACTCTCTCAGCTGTGGACTTAGAACATAGAGGCGATGAAATACTTAGTGTTTATGTGTGGTTTTCTACTCACGTTGCAAAATACAGAAATGATGGCCAGTCCATCCTTGCTGACCAAAGCATCCCCCACGTTGAGATCCGACCGCACGTGGACGAAGTGGATTTCCATGGGAAACCTGGAAAGCAGTAGACTTATTAAATAGGATTACCTAATAAGAATTTGTAGAGAATTATAGGATTAAATTATCTTGTAGAGAACGATGTGATGCACAGGCAAAATAAACGAGAGTAGTTCTTCGCGCTCTCCCAAGATTTGGTCATCATAAGCCAGCGTTTTTTTTGTATTGATTTGATCGTTTTCTTCTTTATTCAATCAACTAAGTACTACACTAAAACAATAAGTTATAGACTTAATACTTATTCAAGAGAAACGTGTGTCCGTGAGGTAGAGTAGAGAGGATCCTGGCTGCATTTCCTTGATGGGTTGTGCTAAGTATATCGAAGTTTTCATTGTTAGTGAACTGACAGCGACTGCCCAATCGGCTTCACCTCCTCAGCCTCCGAGCTGATTTATTTATTTATTTATTTGTAGGTAATAGGTATACAAACTCTGGCTCTAGAAGGTGAGCATCTAGCCCAGTCGGCTGCTGTCTGGATTGTAAAGAGCATGTCTCACTTGATCCCGTTGACGGAGTGCTCGGACAGCCAGTGGAAGTGCAGTTGCTCCAGCCGGTAGCGGTGCTCCAACGGTCCTCCCGTGAGCGTCGGGTGGATCGCCTCCTCGCCCTCAGAGCTGAATTGCACTGGAAAGAAAAACATCTCTTACAGTATTCACAAACGATGCTTGCTTCGTTCGTTTCAGCCGAAAGACGTCCACTGCTGGACAAAGGCCTCCTCCAAGGATTTCCACGAAGACCGATCCTGCGCCGCTCGCATCCAGGCACCTCCCGCGACCTTCACCAGATCGTCGGTCCAGGTCCACCTAGTGGGAGGCCTGCCCAAGCTACGTCTACCGGCTCGTGGTCGCCATTTAAGAACTTTCCTGCACCAGCGGCCATCAGCTCTACGAGCTATGTGCCCCGCCCACTGCCACTTGATTTTAGCGATTCTGCGGGCTATGTCAGTCACTCTGGTTCTCCTATGGATCTCCTCATTTCTGATTCGATCACGCAGGGAAACTCTGAGCATAGCACGCTCCATCGCCCTTTGGGTGACCTTGAGCCTTCTTATGAGGCCCATAGTAAGCGACCACGTCGCACGATGCTTGCTTAAGTCAAGCAAATCGAACGCACAGCGTTGAATAGAGCTCTGTGATTGGTTCGTGTGTACTGTGAGACCTCATAGTAATGTTTGTGAATACAGGCGTGACTCTAGCTGAAATACATTAGTTGTTTTGTAAGTAGAGCTGCAGATTGAATGTTTGGTAATTACTACGGTTTGTACAAAAATGATATAAGTAAGCCTACTGCAGTTGAGTAGCTACTGTGTTGCAGTATTTGTAAAAAGACCTTCAAATCTACAAAGTCCATCGGGGAGGAGAATGAGCGTCCCTAGTGAATACATTGTGTTAGAAAACATAATGTAGGTAGGGAGCTCTTAAGAGTACTCAATATAGTGAGTGTAGAATGATGATGTACTTACCTATATTTTTGCATACCTACTCGCAATAAACCCTATAGGTACTTATGGTTAGGAAGCGTTTAACAGGTGAATCCCTTTCGATAGCATGCTTATGGCACTTATTAAACTAAATTACCTACTCACTGTAATTTAAGTGTTGCAGATAAGTATAAGTAGGATTGGATAGATACTCGTACCTACATTGAATTATCAAGAAACTTATGCTTGACATCCTGGATGGCCACTTGAAACAAACTATGTAATGACTATTAATTGAGGCAAATGGAACATGGAAAGTTCCAAACCATTTTCAGCAAAGTTGTTGCATCCCTACAGATTCTGCGGACTGTTATATTTTAAAAACGTCTTTCTTATTTCCCTTTAAATAACATTGTATGATAAGAATAGCTTTCCAAGTCGAAAGGAATTAAGCAAGAGTAGGCTGAGCGTTGATGAGTCAGGATTTTTACCCGACTGGGCCAGAAGGAGGGTATTCTTTTCTGTAGAATACGAAACCCTCACCAGTATGTCCATTATTGATCCCCGACACTAGCACGCGGTGGTACCCCGTAAACTTGAGCTGGCCATGCTTGATGAACTGTTTGGCGTAGTCCTTCACCACGTCTGCTGTCCTGATGTCGATGGGCGACTGCCGCTTGCCGCCCTCTTTGCAGTTCACGCCTGGCCAGTTGGTTTCATCTGAAAACAGTCTTGTGAATCATCATCATCATCATCATTACAGCCGCAGGACGTCCGCTGCTGAACTAGGCCTCAGATTTTCAAGATTGGCCGGTTGGCAGCGGCCTGCATCTAACGTCTTCTTGCTAATCTTACTTGAATATCTCACTAAGTATTATCTGAGCGAGAGTGAATTGGCATTTACTGGGCAAGTAGGTATGTAATTGTAGATAAGTAGGTACTTTTGGTTTGCATCTACAGTTAGAATAAGTGATTGCGGTCAAACTTACCGTCATAAGTCCAAAGGGGTTCTTTGAAAGTTGTAGAGATGACGATTTCTGAAAAAGAGTAACAACCATTCTTTTACTTTAAAATAGTACATACTCGCACATAGACCTATTTTAAAAATGCATTAATGTTTTGACCCACATTAAACTTGCAACTTGGCTACCTACCTCGTGCATGCAATTTCGTCGTTCTCATACGAGTTCGGAAGTAGGTCAACAGTTGTGAATATGATGCTATATCATAGTATGTATCATGTAGGCGTATCTAAGAGTTATTTTTCAGGGGGGCCGAAACTGAATTGTAGCTGCGCGGGGTATGCGTTTGACACTCATAAGGTAAGTAGGTATGTAGATATATTGTTTTAAGGTTTTCCGCTATTATACGCGCATGTGTATACATACATAATATTTTTTTTTATTTATTTGGTTTATTTTGTTATTTATTTGGTTTTGTTGAGTAAGTAAATTATTATCAACAAAAATGTGTCATCAATAATTTCAAGTGTCGACCTGGACATTATCAGCAACACTGAAAATCCTCAAATCCATTGCATACCAGGTAATTTGGTACTGAATCACTAAATTTTCGGATAATCGGTTTTAACAATGCATCGGTAATACAGCGCATTGTAGGATTAGTTCAGGGACCAAAGTGATCGATTTTAATACTAAATCCGCATACCAAATGCATTATTATTCAGAGATGACATTAAAGAATGGAATTATCGATAAGAAACGAAAGCACAACAATATTAATAAAATTATAAGAGTTTTAACCGGAAGTTGTGACTCATTATTACTGGATAATTAGTAAGAGACCTATAAGTATGTAAAATTTTCAGCAGTAGAAAATATGGCTACTGTCACAACTACGTCCGATGTTTCATAATATTTATTTTCTTTATATAGGTGCTATAACTTAAGACCATTGGACGATGGACGTGATCTCTACACAGGCTACTTCAAAGTCCTTATTTTATATGCTTAAACTATAAAAAACTAAAAAAATTGCTGGCCCTTTAGCTTCAGGCTCCATGAGAACTCACGCGAACTTAGCATAGAAAATTTCTACTTACCCCACACTACTATAAACACATAAATTTAACACCAATTACCGACACATCTGATCACGACCGTAGACACTGCATTATCAATCAGGCACTCCTATATTAAAAAGTGTTTAATTAACCACTTAACCCATAGAAAACAAAAACATAACCCACCAAAACACGTCATAGCTACAAATATGTATCTTGCCATAATTCCGCCAGCACTGGTCCTGATCCCGCTTTGCAAACGAATAAACGAGAACAATGGGCTAAATTCATTTATAATGATGTAAGAAAGTAACAACATGTTTATAAAACATAATTGTTTGTCATAATGTATCACCGATTGAGATGCAACTGCTGACCGCGGAAATGCAATGTGTTGGCTGTAACCTCGTTCCCAGGAGCATGGGATGGGATGAAATTTGAAGAGATAATGGGCATTTAAATGTTAAGCAGAGTACATTGAAGGTGCTTTGTCAGTTGCGGGGATCAGTTTTATATTAAGGCAGGCAGGCAGGTAACTAAAATTAGTTACAAAACACAAACTACGTCTTTATTATGTTCCACACGCCTCTTTGTTATTCTCTAGAAACAGCGAATCATTCATTATCAGAAATAGATTTCTGTGACAAAAGATCTAAAATATAGGTACATGAGTATGACTACGGCAAATTTTTACCCGACTGCGCCAGAAGGAGGGTCATAATTGAAGGTCTTGAATATCGTCATAGAGGTCCAATATTGGATCGGAATGCAGTATATCAGTGCATCCCGTGGACGCGATGCGATTGGCTAAAGTAGATAATAGGCTGGCCCCTCGACTATAGCGGGGAAATCTAGCTCAGACGTCAGCGCCTAGATCACTGCAGGCCCGGACTTAGGTTCAAAACAGAAGCCTCATTTATGTTATATTCTACGGTAGGGGTTCTAACAACAATAACAACCGTGTTGGCCGGTACAATAGTTCTTCCGGATGTATTTGTTCTGGTGTTAGACTAGATGACTCACCAGACACAGCTCTACCGGATCACATGGTTAAATATGAGTTCTAGGCGCCTTTGATATAGCTCTACCTGTTCACACGACTATATGAGCTCTATGACTCTAAGAGTGGATTCGACCAAACAAGAGTAAATATTAATCTCAGAACAAATCGTCAGTTTTGAACATATTTCCCATACTGAAACTGTCATTGTCCTAGTTATACCAGGAGTTATTCTCGGTTAAAAGTTTGGTCGAATCGGGCCTAAGCCAGTTGTGGGCCTAAGCGTCTAAAAATTTTCAGTATTTTCTTTTTGCACTAGCTTTTCCCAGTTATCCAGTTTTTCCGTCAGAGTACCACCTACATTTACATGAAAACTTATCAGGCCCTATTATTATTTATATTGTCTTAATCGCGATTCAAACCTGCGGCCACAGTTGCAGCAGTCATGACGTTAAAGTTCTGTACACAAGTCAGGCAATCAAATAATTTCATCAAATTCAAATTGTTTATTACATGAAATACATCATCATCATTTCAGNAATTTCAGTCACATGATGCTGCTGAACATAGGCCTCGCCCCCAGTGATTTCCAAATGACCGGTTGGTCAAATAATTTAATTAAAACATAATCTGACTGCCTGAGTGCAACCCTGAGCGTCCGGCAAACTAACAGCTAACAGCCCAGTCGAAACAATCCACTTAACGGCAGCTCCTGACCAACTTATAAACTACTATTTTATTGGGATATCCTTCGTCTTTAAGGCAGGGCAATTTGCACTTCCTACAAGTAAAGTTATTTTCGCACGACTAAATCGTAGGTGGGAGCCTGCTGACCACTTAACTGGGCCGAATATTATTGGTATAGTGCGGCCATATTTTTTTGTTTTACACAAAGATTCACTGGACTGAAACCAACCAAAATCAGCCAAATCGGTCCAGCCGTTCCCGAGTTTTAACGAGTTATTGCAATTCATTTTTGTCATTTTGACAAACACGTGAGGTTGCGCCACTTTTAATTTTTTTTTTTAATTATTTAATATTTAATTTTTTAATTACAACTACCATGCGTAATTCAAATTTCGAACACGCCGTAGTTCGAAATTTGAATTAAGCATCAACTCGTAATTCGTGACGTCATGTGACGTGCGGTCCTACCATAGACCTTTTTTATTTCGTTGAGATTCAAACTCAATTCAAACTGTGTGTATTTCGTGCCGCATAAAATAAATTGTGATATCCAGAATGTGGTGATTTGTGGCTGTGATCGGATTCCTAGGTTATTGGAAAGTGAAGAATAAGGCGCGTCTGCCAGTGAAGGAACTTTTTCTTCTCCACGTGGATCCATGGGAAGACTTCTGGTGCTCCAAGTAAGTGTCCCTATCGTTTGCATGTTTTGATTCGGTAGTGTTCGATACGAAGTGTATTAATCACTTGTTCATTTTCTCTGGATGTTTACTGCAATTTAATGCTACTACTGCTACTACTTACATTTTACTCAAAAACCTGCATTTTGTGTGGCTTCATGGCATACTATTTTACAAATTAAAATTATTACGTAGTGTAGTGTATAGACATTTGTCTCGAGCGCATACGTCACAGCCCAGTCAGCGGTGGGGGCATTCGGCGTCCGACCGTGGTGCGGGCAGGTCGTGCTGTGTGCGTAGGCGAGCCAAATAATAATCTAATGGCGGAGATAAAGGTGTACAATACAATGGCGACGAGGATTAAAAAGGAGTGCATAAAAAAAAGAAGTGAGTAGGTACACGTATAAGTTAAAGTTATAAATTAACTCACGGAACATTATTAATTTCAAACAAAGTATCTATTTAGATTGTGCTTAAATATGAAGTGTTTACTTTATATTTTCTCAACCACCAAAGTGTAAATGTGTGAAGAGTGATATTCCCGTTGTAATAATAAAGATAAGTGATGGTGTTTTTAAAATTAATTTATCGATCGGAAATAACGAAAATACTTTTTGTTGTGTGTGTGTTTTGCAGTAAAACGATTCTTAATATTTTACGTTAGTAACNGATTTTTAATGCAATAATGTAATTTTATAAAGTAGGCATTGTAATCAGCATGCCACCTGAACCAAGCACAGATGAATCAAGTATTTGCCTTCGTCACACCGGGTTCTAAGCCAACCAGCTCCACGTCTGCCTTCTAGTTCATTCGTTGCAAGATGGGCTTGCCTCCACGCCAGAAACCAGACTCTCATGATTAAAACCTGACCAGTTATGGTCAAGAACAGCTCACGCCATATGAATCAGTATTTTATGCCGGACACTGCTTATTTATTTTTTTGCGAACAAACTAACTTAATTAAAATTATGACACATTTTTTTTGTAGAAGGACAACTCATGAGCTTTCGAAATAATTTTAATTTATATTGATATATCAAAAGGAAAATGCTACATCAACCATTTTGTTCCGGAAAATGGCTAACGGACACACCATATGAATCAGAGAATCATACTTCAAATATTTTTATTTTGTATAAAGACAGCAATTATGTCAAAAATGTAATTTGCGCCAGATAGGGCTATAGCTAAGCTATACGAAAAAAAATATTGCATGCCATTTTGTTAGTTGGTTACAGAACTATACCCAAAGACATCGAAAATTTTGCCTCCGAAGAAATACCCTTAACTGGGCCGAATATTATTGGTATAGTACGGCTATATTTTTTTGTTTTACACAAAGCTTCACTGGACTGCAACCAAACCAAAATCAGCCAAATCGGTCCAGCCGGTCCCGAGTTTTAACGAGTTATCGCAATTCATTTTTGACATTTTGACAAACACGTGTGTTTGCGCCACTTTTAATTATACCTACCACACGTAATTCAAATTTCGAACACGCTGTAGTTCGAAATTTGAATTACGCGTCAACTCGTAATTCGTGACGTCATGTGACGTGCGGTCCTACCATAGACTTTTTTTATTCCGTTGAGATTCAAACTCAATTCAAACTGTGTGTATTTCGTGCCGCATAAAATAAATTGTGATATCCAGAATGTGGTGATTTGTGGCTGTGATCGGATTCCTAGGTAATTAGAAAGTGAAGAATAAGGCGCGTCTGCCAGTGAAGGAACTTTTTCTTCTCCACGTGGATCCATGGGAAGACTTCTGGTGCTCCAAGTAAGTGTCCCTATCGTTTGCATGTTTTGATTCGGTAGTGTTCGATACGAAGTGTATTAATTGTTCATTTTCTCTCGATGTTTACTGCAATTTAATGCTACTACTGCTACTACTTACATTTTACTCAAAAACCTGCATTTTGTGTGGCTTCATGGCATACTATTTTACAAATTAAAATTATTACGTACCTATTTTAATACTATTTAAAAAAAATACTATTATCATAATAATTGCAATACGAAACGATAAACGTTTGATAATGGCGGCTTTCAATTCAAGATATTATCCAGTCTTTAAGTATATTGCTGAATCGATAACGATAAAAATACCATCGATCTTTGTAGCGCTATACTTTGTTATCAATCTTAACGATAGTAATTTAGAAATTACGATCGGGTATAAACCGGTTTAACTTTTAATTATTGATAGGATGTAGGTACCTACCAGAGGATTGATTGAGGAAATGAACAGGGCGCAAAACACCCTGTAGGCATTGTGGTTTCAATGAAGAGTCAAATTTCGGAGGGTCCTTTGATGAGATGACATTTGACACTGTAGTGTCGAAACCAAGTAAATAAAAATACATTGATCGGCAAAAAAGGGTTTGTTATAAAATCTTCAATATCTTCAAAATTACCTGACCTAGCTTTATGAAATACACTCAATTAATTCCACCTTTTTTTTTAAATTTTGATATGAATAAAAAATTAGTAGTTTTCTTCAGTATGTTTTGTTTCATAAAGCTATGTCAGGTACTTTTTGAAGATTTAGAATATTTTTAACAGACCCTTTTCTTCAGGGTAGGTCCATCTAAAGAAAAAGAGTTTGTTAAAAATCTTGTAATCTTGTGTAGGTCCTATGGAAATATTAAGGTTACACATTCGATTTTCGTAATGAGGTAGGAAGTGGGAAATGCAGAGGTAGAAACTCACTAATTAGTTTCGTTTTTCGTTTGCTTTGATGCAGTGCCAGCCATGACTGGTTCTCCGAATTAGGTCACAGGTCTACTTTAGCTCGAAACTGGTTTTCATGAATAAAATTCATGTTACCAGAGGGCTGAGTGTGAGTTTACAAAAATGTATGAAAATTTTAGTTTTTGAACGTTTCCCGCTAGGGCGCTGTACAATCCGTCATACATTTAATGACATTTTTTGACGCGCTCACTAGTGAGCGCGTTTGATGAAAACTCACACTAGGCCCTCAGGTTGGTTCTCAATATTTAGGATCTGATAGTCACTTCGCTCTGCTATGTCATTCTATGTTCATTCAATTCTGGATTATTTACAATTTATGTTTATAACTCATAGGGTCAAAAAATAAAATAATCATAATATATTTTATATAGCTTAATTTTATTTTTCTTAATATTTACAGTATTGCAAAATAACTTAATTATATTAGTACTGCATGATAAATTTTGATAAAAATAAATTAGGAACATTGTTTAAGAATCAACCAATTACATCTATACAAATAAAATAAATAATTTACATTATTTACTTACTAAGTTCTCGTAATTTTGTGTAATAAATAACAATTATATTGTTATTGCCATTTTAACATAAATCTACCTAAATGGCAATTTAAGCTTAATTAACTAATTGAACATTAATTTACAATACCTACCACTTATTGACTAGTGTCTTGAAATTTAAATATCCTTATTAATTTGATTATTACTTCATTGTAATTAATTATAAAAATACCTTAACATACCTAATTATCTTTTGTCATTTCTCTCTTATCAGTTTTTCATTCCAATATTGTATGCATTTCTGAAGATTCAATTCATTTGCACCCTTAACTTTATAGTGAACATTTTTTCATTATTTCTTAATGTGTCTGCCCATTGATCACACATGACCCCAAATCAGTTTGGCCAAGACCAATATTTTACAAAAACATGGGATCAAGCCTTTGGCACTTGGGAGAACTGAACCTTTCCTATAATTCTTGCTTGATCGAGTCAAACTGACGTTACAACGTTGACAAGTTATTTAAATAAGTTTAATTGAACTCTACAATCCTCTTTATTTCGGACTTTTTGAATACAATAATCTTTTTACGATGGCGTTTAAAAAAATATACACGGATGCATGGACCTATAAAAAAAGTCGGACGGATTCTCATCAACAAAATACTGTGACATTAGGATACACCAGCTTGCCTGTACGTACAGGCCGGCACGCACACATTCACACCCTGTTACACCACTTCGAGTGCAAACTTCACACAGTTGACACATTTAAGCAGCGAAAAAACAACACGAATACGACATGTCTTGTGTGATGAAATTGTGTAAAAACCGTTCTGTTCGAACAAACAAAAATTAAGGAATCACATTTCACAGGCAAAATAATAATCCAATCACTTATTTCCCGACATTAAAATATTGAAATTAATTGAAATCAAACGTCATTCACTCGAAAAAATAATACGTCAAAGACCAGTGTTCTCAGTTATTTACGTGGGAAAATTACCCGAAATATGGGAAATTAATAATAATTTTAGGACTTTTTAGTTATTTATTACGCATACTATGGAAATAAAATAATTTATCATAATAATTGTGTTTTAATGGGATATATTTTCATAGGCAAATTTGATCCTTCCCAAAAATGTGGAACTGCGAAATTCAAATTTTCTTACATTGATTGCAAGTCAGTGTCAGGTTGTATGTTAAAAAAAATCTATCAGAGATAATAATAATATATTGATGATGCATAAGATTATGATTATAATGTACACAAGATTCGTAATTTGTAACTGCGTGAATCATTTTTGATCAACATTATGTACATACCCTGACACACTGACTTGCAAACAATGTAAGAAAATTTGAACATTGAAAATTTCGCGCCTACCTCAACGCATTCACCTTTCATCCTTTTAAAATGGCACGGAATAATTCTGTCTACATTTCCAAGTAACATCTGCCGATCTATGTTTTTCTTAAAATAAATGGGTAAAATGTTTTGGCTAACATGGCATCCCTAAATTCACTCACACAATAGACAAACGCCAAAATTTTGCGTCACAGTTTTGTTGTAGCGCGAGTTCCGTCCGCCTTTTTTTATAGGTCCATGCACGGATGTAAATTGTGGTAAGTTTTCAGATTACAGTTTTCAAAATTAATCGTTTTCGTAAGCGATTTATTACTTTCACTATTCGATTTCAATTTCAGACCGATAGCAGTCAATTACCTCATATTTAATGTGTTCACGAGCTATCTCTAGATATTGGCTTTAGAGCTCAGATTATCCGGATACAATTTATAAGTTTTATCTTTATTGGCTCATTAAATTTAATACAATCTAAGACGTTTTAATTTATGATATAAAATAACAAGAGGTATTGGTTTGTGAACAAAGATGAAACAATTATTTAAAATGTATGCGTATCTTTATAGGCTGATAAAATATAATAAAAGGAATACGTCACGAATGTCACGTTTCAAGTAATCCAAGTTGGTATTTTATAAATTTAAATAATAGGCACTGACTTTTTGAGCAAGTGAAATTGTATTTCAGTTTGTCTGTGTATTCAATACGCACGATGAATTTTACCGAAAGTAGCAGAATGGTGATCGTATCCGTTCAACATACTTTTTATTTTACGGTTTACAAGTACTAAGAGTAGGTATAATATTTGCGATAACTTGAAACCATAAGAACTGGGTCTGCGCATCTACATAGACTTATTTTTCTATCTTTAATATTGATAGCATTTTCTATGCTGCCTAGGTGCTTTTAAAATTATACTTTAACTCACTAATTACAGAAAATGGAATGTATTAGACACTGGAAAAACATTTATTCAATTAGATACACCTACAATTATTCTATTCTATTGAGAGACTTCTCCAAATTTAACAAGAACAATAACAATATCGAATCGTTAATAAGACAAATTTCAGTTAATCGCCAAAGTGTTCCCTTTTAAAAATCATAGGTTCGATCAACAAGTTAGTTAGTTTACATTATGTTTCTGGGCACAAAACAACTTTTATTTAGCAGATTTAAAGTGCTGGCATGTCGTGCCAACCAGCCAATGAGATCAAAAAATGGTTCAACATTTCTGGAACCCTAACCTTTCAACTTAAATGCACTACGAGTAACTCGATTTAAACAAATCTTGTGATTCATAAGATCTTAATAGCCTCTATACATACTAATGACCTGTATTGCCATTTTCACTGAAGATTTAAACTTTTTAAGCTTAGAATCATTTTTTATATCTAAGAAAAACTATTTAGTCCTCTAGAAGTCTACGACAGAATTATAATACACAGTAAAATCGTGCCTTAAAATGCTTTCTGGTATTTTGCCTACCTTCATCAGCAGTTTGGCAGTAAAATCTTTCTCTTCACGATATAATTATGATGTATTTCAATGGGTCTATATGCCTTCTTGTCCCATCTCTAGCTACTGAAACTCCTATAAATTCAGGAGAGAGTAGCTCAGCTGTCAACGTGTTAACACTTACATATGAATAGTCCCAGAGTATTGCTCACTCTTGCAACCCGCTTGTTAATTAATCAGAAGCATAAAGGAGCGGTTTAGTATACACTATACCTACTTTGACATGCTATAACCATTTTAGTGGCAGGTTACTTTATTGACGACATTGCCCAAGAGCCTCCTTTTGGTTTTGACGATGCTGCACATGGCTCCTAGAAGGGTAGTCGACATCTTAGACCTGAAGCAGGCTATGATGGCAGCGGCCAGTCCCAGCAGAGACGGTGAGGCCATGTGCGAGCAAGAGGCTACTTCTTTGGAGCGGTAGACCATGCGAGTGCCCAATGGCTGGACCCGCCGGTCGTTGTTGATGCCTTCCAAGTCAGCTCGGGTCAGGTTTTTGTACTGTTGGAGAAAGTATGCAAGTTAATCTACTTTTTTTTAATCGATTTGTGACTTAAATTAACCCTTAAATCTCCAGCAAATCGATATGCGATAGAAATAAATTGTTACCGCGGTCTCATGCGTCTACTTGGGGTTTCGCAGTTAAGGCTATAAATGAGTGTAGATAGGTATAGGTGTTTGGTGAAATATTGCTAAATTGGAACTTTTAGGCTAGGTTGCACCATCTTAGTTACTTTAACTTTGACAAACGTCAAAAATCTGTCAAACTCCATACAAAAAGCACCGGTTATCGTCATTGTTACGGTCAAAGTTAGGTGGTGCAACTAAGCCTTAATCATTATCAAGAGTTGAGAGTTTGCTTATTTATTAAGCACATAGGTATAATTTCTACCCCTGCTTGTAAAAAACTCGGTAACGATAAGGAAAAAAGCTAGCCTCTTCTTCGAAGGTTTACGTATGTGCGAGTTATCCCTACGAGCTAGGTTTTATTTGCGTACCTATTTATTTTTGCCATATTCTTCATAATTATAATGGTGATTTAAATCCTTCAAAAGCACGGGACTGCAAATAATCTTGTATAATGTAATCTGAATTTATTATAATATGCTAATCAATCATATTTAATCATGCATAACCCATCCTATTTTTAAAGTAAAAGCTTCTACTAATATTTGAGGTAGGAAATTCAGATTACGTTAACTAATTTCTATAGAATGAGTTTAACTATAACCAGATTTGCTAGGGAATGCTTATGAATATCAAATTTACTAGTCAGTTATGAGCTGGAAAATAATTGAGTTTGTTAAACTTTCCCCGCAACTGCTCTCTCATTAAAAGTTAGTTTGGTTTTGTTTGGTAACTACTTAAATATTCGCCGTGATATTGTGCAGTTCGTGGCTGAACTCTATTGTAGACTAAATCTGCTTTAATAAAAGTAAATTCGAAAAAGCATTTGTACAAGACCTTGATGCTAGACTTTTTGAGCCACAATAAGCATTTGATATTACATAATCAGACTGACAGCTCATATTCGTTTTATTTTTGAACGAGCATACCCTGAAAATCGAATCCTGAACCTGTGAGTCAAGACCAAGAGAGACCAACTCTAACCACTAGTGCCTACAGATTAAAACAATGCTCTATATTTATACTCGTAGTCTGCATTTAATATGCCTACATTGATCAAAGTAAGTATTTTCTAGTGGACGATGTTTTTTTAGGATTCATTCAGATTCAGATGCTGTACACATTAACATTGGTATTGAATCCGAATATAAATCAGGTATTTTTTCACCACTAGAATATTTTTATTCTCTTAGTTAAAGTCGTAAATCGATTTAGATCCTTGTTTTTGTTTGTTCTTAAAATAGCATCTACTTATGTAGACTACTTTCTTTAAAAGTTCGATGTAATGTACTTATACTTTCTGAAATGGAGACCCCAATGCTACGTAAACTATAATGTATAAAGGCCAGTTTGAAAATTAATTATTATTTAATAGTTATGCTTTGTCTCCCCAACTCGTCTGGCCAGAGCAGCCTGGGGAGTTTCGGCCAAATCCTCTATTTGTCTTAAGTAAATTGAATAGAGTCGTGTTCCTGCAATAGAGACTAAGGCCTAGTTCAGACACAGTGATAATCGCGCGGTTGCTGGGTAGTTCTCGTACATTTGCATCAAACCGTAACCATCCGGTTACCGTTTCAGTGTCTTGCCAATGAGAACTACCCTGAAACCGGGCTCGCGCGTGTCTGGACCAGGCCTAAATGACTGTTATTGTTAGAGATGAANACGTAGTTACCTATTTTATTACTATTTAAAAAAATACTATTATCATAATAATTGCAATACGAAACGATACGAAAAGATTGTCGGCCGTTTGGTGTAGTGGTTCAGAACGGACTACTATGCCGAGAGGTCCCGGGTTCGATTCCCGGCCGGGCAGAAATTGAAATGATGAATTTTAATTTCTGTGACGGGTCTGGGTGTTACTATGTATAATATGTATGTATTTAAAAAAAAAAGTATATAAGTAGTGTATCCGTCAAGCTAGCACCCATAACACAAGCATTAAGTTGCTTACTTTGGGGCTAGCTGGCGCTGTGTGAAATTGTCCAAAGATTATAAACGTTTGATAATGGTGGCTTTCAATTCAAGATATTATCCAGTCTTTAAGTATATTGCTGAATCGATAACGATAAAAATACCATCGATCTTTGTAGCGCTATACTTTGTTATCAATCTTAACTAGGTACTTTAGAAGCTTTAGATAGTAATTTAGAAATTACGATCGGGTATAAACCGGTTTAACTTTTAATTATTGATAGGATGTAGGTACTAGAGGATTGATTGAGGAAATGAACAGGGCGCAAAACACCCTGTAGGCATTGTGGTTTCAATGTAGAGTCAAATTTCGGAGGGTCCTTTGATGAGATGACATTTGACACTGTAGTGTCGAAACCAAGTAAATAAAAATACCTACATTGATCCGCAAAAAAGGGTTTGTTAGAAAATCTTCAATATCTTCAAAAGTACCTGACCTAGCATTATGAAATATACTCAATTAATTCCACCTTTTTATTTTTAATTTTGATATGAATAAAAAATGAGTAGTTTTCTTCAGTATGTTTTGTTTCATAAAGCTATGTCAGGTACTTTTTGAAGATTTAGAATATTTTTAACAGACCCTTTTCTTCAAGAGTTTGTTAAAAATCTTGTAATCTTGTGTAGGTCCTATAAGGAAATATTAAGGTTACACATCCGATTTTCGTAATGAGGTAGGAAGTGGGAAATGCAGAGGTAGAAACTCACTAATTAGTTTCGTTTTTCGTTTGCTTTGATGCAGTGCCAGCCATGACTGGTTCTCCGAATTAGGTCACAGGTCTACTTTAGCTCGAAACTGGTTTTCATGAATAAAATTCATGTTACCAGAGGGCTGAGTGTGAGTTTACAAAAATGTATGAAAATTTTAGTTTTTGAACGTTTCCCGCTAGGGGCGCTGTACAATCCGTCATACATTTAATGACATTTTTTGACGCGCTCACTAGTGAGCGCGTTTGATGAAAACTCACACTAGGCCCTCAGGTTGGTTCTCAATATTTAGGATCTGATAGTCACTTCGCCTCTGCTATGTCATTCTATGTTCATTCAATTCTGGATTATTTACAATTTATGTTAACAACTCATAGGGTCATAAAATAAAATAACTATATCTTTTATACAGCTTAATTTTATTTTTCATAATATTTTACAGAATCGCAAAATAACTTAATTAATATTATTAGTAACGTATGATCAATTTTGATAAAAATAAATTAGGAACATTGTTTAAGAATCAACCAATATCATCTATACAAATAAAATACCTAAATAATTTACATTATTTGCTTACTAAGTTTTCGTAATTTTGTGTAATAAACAACAATTATACTATTATTATTGTTATTGCCATTTTAACATAAATCTACCTAAATGGCAATTTAAACTTAATTAACTAGTTAATTGAAGATTAATTTACAATACCTACCACTTATTGTCTAGTGTCTTATTCTATTATTATTGACTAGTGTCTTGAAATTTAAATATCCTTAATAATTTGATTATTATTTCATTGTAATTAATTATAAAAATACCTTAACATACCTAATTATCTTTTGTCATTTCTCTCTTATCAGTTTTTCATTCCAATATTGTATGCATTTCTGAAGATTCAATTCATTTGCACCCTTAACTTTATAGTGAACATTTTTTAATTATTTCTTAATGTGTCTGCCCATTGATCACACATGACCCCAAATCAGTCTGGCCAAGACCAAATAATATTTTACAAAAACATGGGATCAAGCCTTTGGCACTTGGGAGAACTGAACATTTCCTCCTATAATAAATTCTTATTTGATCGAGTCAAACTTGAATTTAATGTGTTACTTTAAAGTTTAATTGAACTCTACAATCCTCTTTATTTCGAACTTTTTGAATACAATAATCTTTTTACGATGGTGTTTAAAAAAATATTACGACTGTTTTGTGATAAGATTACAGTTTTCAATATTAATCGTTTTCGTAACAGACGTAAGCGATTTATTACTTTCACTATTAGATTTCAATTTCAGACCGATAGTCAATGTGTTCACGAGCTTTATATCTGATATCGGCTTTAGAGCTCTGATTATCCGGATACAATTTATTTGTTTTATCTTTAATGGCTCATAAAATTTAATAAAATCTAAGACGTTATAATTTATGGTGTTTTAATATCAAGATTGTGTGAACAAAGATGACAAAGGTGACAGGTAAAATGTATGCGTATCTTTATAGGCTGATAAAAATAATAAAAGGGGTACGTCACGAGTGGCACGTTTCAAGTAATCCAAGTTGGTATTTAAATTTAAATAATAGGCACTGGATTTTTGAGCAAGTGAAATTGTATTTCAGTTTGTCTGTGTATTCAATACGCACGATGAATTTTACCGAAAGTAGCAGAATAGTGATCGTATCCGTTCAACATACTTTTTATTTTACGGTTCACAAGTACTAAGAGTATATTTGCGATAACTTGAAACTATCAGAACTGGGTTTACGCATCTACATAGACTTATTTTTCTATCTTTAATATTGATAGCATTTTCTAGGCAGCAGCCTAGGTGCTTTTAAAATTATACTTTAACTCACTAATTACAGAAAATGGAATGTACCTATTAGACACTGGAAAAACATTTATTCAATTAGATACACCTACAATTATTCTATTCTATTGAGAGACTTCTCCAAATTTAGTTTAACAAGAACATCGAATCGTTAATAAAACTTTCAGTTAATCGCCGAAGTGTTCACATTTAAAAAGACGCAGGTTCAATAAGTTTTTTACATTTGTTTTTGGGCACAAAACAACTTTTACAATTGCATATTTAAAGTGCTGGCATGTCGTGCCAACCAGCCAATGAGATCAAAAAATGGTTCAATATTTTTGGAACCCTAATCTTTCAACTTAAATGCACTACGAGTAACTCGATTTAAACAAATCTTGTGATTCATAAGATCTTTATAGCCTCTATACTAATGACCTGTATTGCCATTTTCGCTGAAGATTTAAACTTTTTAAGCTTAGAATCATACATACCTACCTAATAAACCTAAGAGAAGATATTTAGTCCTCTACAAGTCTACAACAGAATTATAAATAGGTACACAGTAAAATCGTAGGTACCTTAAAATGCTTTCTGGTATTTTGCCTACCTTCATCAGCAGTTTGGCAGTAAAAGCTCCCTCTTCACGATATACTTATGATGTATTTAAATGGGTCTGTATACCTTGTTATCCCCCATCTCTAGTTAGTCTACTGAAACTCCTATAAATTCAGGAGAGAGTAGCTCAGCTGTCAATGTGTTAACATTTACATATGAATAGTCCCAGCACGCACGTAATTATGTTGCTGTCGCGCTCGCACACTCACTGCGGGCGCGCGTCGCACAGTCGCGACAGCAATATAATTACGCGCGAGCGATAAGGATGGGTAGCTTGGGGTCATTGGACGGGATTCTACGTGCTCACGGACCAGGCTTTATCATACACTATACCTACTTTGATATGCTATAACCATTTTAGTGGCAGGTTACTTTATTAACAACATTGCCCAAGAGCCTCCTTTTGGTTTTGACGATGCTGCACATAGCTCCTAGAAGGGTAGTCGACATCTTAGACCTGAAGCAGGCTATGATGGCAGCGGCCAGTCCCAGCAGAGACGGTGAGGCCATGTGTGAGCAAGAGGCCACTTCTTTGGAGCGGTAGACCATGCGAGTGCCCAATGGCTGCACTCGCCGGTCGTTGTTGATGCCTTCCAAGTCAGCTCGGGTCAGGTTTTTGTACTGTTGGAAAGAGCAAGTTAGTTTTCTATCGTGTTGTGACTTGAATTAAGGCTATAAATTAGTGTAAGATTTAGTGTACCGTACACTATTTGTAAAATGAAGTTCAATTGGACCACTTAATCATTATCAGGAGTTGAGTTTGCCTTTTTATAAGGCACATTATAATTTCTACCCTCACTAAGGGTAAATAATGTGGACTGAAAAAAAGCAGTGTAAAATGTATCCATGTCATCCATTCATGTTATTTATTAATCTTATACTGAAAGATTATATTTATAATTTTGTACCGCCGTCATAATTTGTTTAACCCTAAGGTTGACTAGAGGAGAATTCCGACTAGAATTAAATCCGCCTTTTGTACTGTGATGACCTCAGTAATGATTAGGAAAAGCAAGCCTCTTCTTTGAAGGTTTACACTAAGTATGTGCGAGCTATTCCTACGAGCTAGGTTTTTTTGCGTAATTTATGTTTGCTATTTTCTTTTACGTACCTAATAATAGTGACTTAAATCCATCAAAAGCTCGGGACTTCAATTAATATCTTGTATAATGTTATTATAACTATGCTTATCATATTTAATCATGAATAACCCATTTTAAAGTAAAATATTTTAAAGTTCAGGAAATTCAGATTACGTAAACTAATTTCTATAGAATGAGTTTTACTATAACCAGATTTGCTAGGGAATGCTTATGAATATCAAATTTACTAGTCAGTTATGAGCTGGAAAATAATTGAGTTTGCTAAACTTTCCCCGCAACTCATTAAAAGTTAGTTTGGTTTTGTTTGGTAACTACATAAATATTCCCCGCGATATTGTGCAGTTCGTGACTGAACTCTATTGTAGACTAAATCTGCTATAGTAAAAGTAAATTCGAAAATGCATTTGTACAAGACCTTGATGCTAAACTTTTTGAGCCACAATAAGCATTTGATATTACATAATCAGACTGACAGCTCATATTCGTTTTATTTTTGAACGAGCATACCCTGAAAATCGAATCCTGAACCTGTGAGTCAAGACCAAGAGAGACCAACTCTAACCACTAGTGCCTACAGATTAAAACAATGCTCTATCTTTATACTCGTAGTCTGCATTTAATAATGCCTACATTGATCAAAGTAAGTATTTGCTAGTGGATGTTTTTTTAGGATTCATTCAGATTCAGATGCTGTACACATTAACATTGGTATTGAATCCGAATATAAATCAGGTATTTTTTTCACCACTAGAATATTTTTATTCTCTTAGTGAAAGTCGTAAATCGATTTAGATCCTTGTTTTTGTTTGTTCTTAAAATAGCATCTACTTATGTAGACTACTTTCTTTAAAAGTTCGATGTAATGTACCTACTTATACTTTCTGAAATGGAGACCCCAATACTACGTAAACTATAATGTATAAAGGCCAGTTTGAAAATCCCAACTAATATTATAAATGCGAAAGTAACTCTGTCTGTCTGTCTGTCTGTCTGTCTGTCTGTCTGTCTGTCTGTTACGCTTTCCCGCTTAAACCTCGCAACCGATTTTGATGAAATTTGGCATAGAGATAGTTTGAGTCCCGGGAAAGAACATAGGATAGTTTTTATCCCGGTTTTTGAAACAGGGACGCGCGCGATAAAGTTTTTCTGTGACAGACAAAATTCCACGCGGGCGAAGCCGCGGGCGGAAAGCTAGTTAATTATTATTTTATAGTTATGCTTTGTCTCCCCAACTCGTCTGGCCAGAGCAGCCTGGGGAGTTTCGGCCAAATCCTCTATTTGTCTTAAGTAAATTGAAAAGAGTCGTGTTCCTGCAATAGAGACTAAGGCCTAGTTCAGACACAGTGATAATCGCGTGGTTGCTGGGTAGTTCCCACACACATGCGCATCAAACTGTAATCACCCGGTTACCGTTTCAGTGTCCTTGTCAATGAGAACCACCTAGAAACCGGGCTCGCGCGTGTCTGGACCAGGCCTAAATGACCTGACGATGATGTTACTTACGTGGTCGTGGGTGACGGTGGTGGGCTGGTCCATGACCATCCAGGTGACCACCTCAGGGCATAGGGGTGTGGTCAACGAGCCGTGGTAGGTGTAGAACGCTTGAGGGTTGGGGCTGAAGAGCTTCCTAAGAACAATGGAGAATAAACAAAGATCAGTCATGAGACAGTGACTGTGAGTCTCCCAGTCTGCTTGTAACCACAAATGCAGCATAGCAGCCGAAACATCAAGCCGTGAGTACATAATGTAAATCATTTATATGATGTCGCGTAATCGCGTTGAGACCCGCGTCTCTCTATTTCGAGACAGATCTCTTGTTGTGGGTTTGTATCCCGGGTGGAAAATGTTTGTCTGCTATGCAGTATTTACAATGTCGCATGAGCGTTAAAATAAGACCATATAATTTTATCTACAGCCTAGTTAGTTTCCAGGATACCAGCTCTGCTGATACATTCACGGAAACTTATCTTTCTGTACACGTGTAAACGTTAAAATACCAAACTTCTTTGCGAGTTGTTCCAATGCTAATTTGTTAACATAAAATGTATTGACATTCTTTTAAAATCTAACAATATTATATTGTACTAGCGGCCGCCCGCGACTTCGTACGCGTGGATCCCGTTTTACCCCCTTCATCTATCTTACGCGGTTTAGTTTTAGTTTTCTTTTTTCATACAAATGTTTTTTCCCGCTAACTCCCGTTCCCGTGAGAATTTTGCAATATCCTGTTGTAACTAAGCTTTTAGTTTACTAAGGTCTAACTTAAGCGGTTTAGATTTTTCATACAAAAGGATTTTCCCGCTAATTTCCGTCCCCGTGGGAATTCCTAAGTATACTATAACCTGCCCAGGAGTATGAAGAATAATTGTGATTTTCCCGCTAATTTCCGTCCCCGTGGGAATTCCTAAGTATACTATAACCTGCCCAGGAGTATGAAGAATAATTGTACCAAGTTTCGTTAAAATCCGTCGTGTAGTTATTGTTTCTATAAGGAACATACAGACAGACAGACAGGCATACAGACAGAAAGACAGACAAAAATTTTACTGATTGCATTTTTGGCATCAGTATCGATCACTAATCACCCCCTGATAGTTATTTTGAAAATATATTTCATGTACAGAATTGACCTCTCTACAGATTTATTATAAGTATAGATGTAAGCGGAAGGGATTATGAAAAGGGTAACTAACTACCTAACTAACCTTTAAGCAAATTAGTTTAGTAATTAATATTTAGTTGAACACTAATTATATAGGCTGAAAACTGATTTTCTCTGGCACTAATTTTATTCTTCCAATGTAAATAAATGAATCCAAAACGGACTTGTTGGACTAATATGCTAATATGGAGACGCGTGTAAAGAAAAACCTATACTTAATAGAGCAACGTTTGCGTTTAGATTTTTAAACTCGTTTTTACTTTCAAAGTAATTTAGACAAAATAAATGGAACAAGATACTCAAAAAAAAAAAATAACCCTGCGGAAAATAAGCGGTGTTAGGTACTTTATCGTGTAGATTTTTTGTTTGAAAGACTGCTTTGCATACACGTGTGTGAAATTAATATTAACTTTATTTCAAGTTAGATAAAAATTATCTACCTCGTTGCAGTGGACAGGATTATCGTGATAATAGAAAGAGCGGTCTTAGCCTCACGTGCGAGATATTTTTAGCCGATGAATCCAATAAAATTGGGGATGGTAGAGCAAAAAAAGAATGAGACATGTAAGGCTCCATAAGACCATAATAATATTAATTTGACGACTTGTAAGTACTAATTTAATTAAGTCAAAGTCAAAGTCAAAATTTCTTTATTTGTTTAGACTAATAAATAGTTCTTACAAATCGTCATTTTGCTCTTAAGGAGTTTAATTAGTCTATACGAATAAAGAAAATTTTTATTTTTTTCATCAAAACTATTAAACTACCATTAAAATTACCTATGTAAATTAGGTAATTATTGAAACAAGAGTGTTTCAGAAAAAAATAGAATTTACGCTTATTTTGGTTCCGCGAAATTTTTTCTGTATTCAGAAGTTTCTAGTTACGCTCTAACTATAATGATATTATATTTCCTTACATACAAATGTAACAGCCTTAAAAATAGCACCACGGTCGGTATCTACGGCATTATCTGTTGCTACTCAAGCATGTCCGAAGATCATTGTGGTTGTATTCGGCGCTTCCTCTTCTTTCAGGCCGTCCACAATGATCCGTCTAATTCGATTGGACATACGTTTTAGGACCCTGTCCTTAATAAAGGTACCTTCTAACAAGAGTTTTGACTATCTTTATTGTCACTGGATATGATTTTGTGCGTCAATGATATTTTAGCGTCTGTTACTGTGCCTCATTCCAATACAGGCATCAATCTGCAGTTACATATCACAAGATGCAAGAAGTAAAGTACCTAACTGGTTTTCCGATTTTCAATAGTTACCTTTGGCGATCAATAAAATCTATCGGTTTTCGTTGACTTCTTACTTTAACGACCTGTTTTAATTACGAGTATTATGCTGAACTAGTCAACAAAAATAATAATGTAGTTTCAATTAATTTTACTTACGTGAGGTCTACGTTGAAAGTGGGCGAGTCTTCGTTGGATGGATTAACTATGTAATCCATTGCTGGTAGCAGTTCTTCCAGCACACTGGTTTCTCCTATGGGACCCACCTAGGGAAAACAAGTCGATTAGGTTACGAAGAAATGATTCATAAAACACCTTTGTACAGATATCTAAAGAGTGATATAAATTGCTTTTCAGGACACAAAGTATAATGATTCATATATTTAAGGTTTAATAATTCTATAACTACGTGTATGGAAGAGCGGCCCCTCCAAACACAGGCATTTTTGCTTAAATGGAGGTTCCAATCTTCTTATTAAGTCGAGAAACCTTGTAAACGAATTTTTTTTAAGTTGTCGTTTAAGAAATGTAGAGACAGATTTTCTACTATTCCAATTGTCACTCTAATTAATTAATTAATTCTAATCAAGAACTAAGTAGAGCTTAAAAAGGTGACTTGTTGATTACCGACAAAAATAGAAGGAAAATACCTACTTCTATTATTTAACAATTTTCTGAAAATTACTCATCACTTCTAGGAACTATTATATTTACCTAAACAGATCTTGGATAGAGATGTCTGGCAGATAGAATCTAAGTTATTAGTTAGATAGCGTCTGGTAGGTAATACTTACCTACTACGATAAAGCCTATGTGAAACTTATTATGATTATGTACTTATTCACATTCTTAATTGCCTACACCAGTCTTTCCCAAAGTGGGCGATAACGCCCCCTTGTGGGCGCTGCAGGCTTAAAGGGGGGCGGTAAGAGACCCCGGAAAAAATTGGTGGTAGGCCATTTGTAATTTCATCTACTTAGGAGGTTTCTTAGACACCAACTGAGCATTTGACTCTTGAAAATTTAATGGGGCCGCTAAAAAGAATTTATTCTCAAAGTGGGCAGTAGACAAAATAAGTTTGGGAACCGCTGGCCTACACCGTATTTTCTTTCCCTTCCATTTTATTTTCTTGATTTTACAAAATATTCGCCTTTAGGGCTGATTTTTCAACCGTCAGATATCTTTTAACTGCAGAATAAACTTGTCATGTTGACATATTTCCCATACTGAAACTGTCAATGTGTCAAACTTATTCTTCAGTTAAAAGTTATCCGACGATTGAAAAATCAGCCCTTAGTCTATTTTCAAAGTCTTCCATCTCTATAACTTATTGAGCAGTTTAAACGCAATGTTTTATTAAAGACATGCGTGGATCCCGTCTTAGCCCCTTAGGGGTGGAGTTTCGTAAAATCCGTTCTTAGTGAGCACATACGTTCTTAAAGGAACCCCCATGCAAAATTTGAGACTCCTACGCACTTGTAGTTTCTGAGATTTCGTGATGAGTGAGTCAGTCAATCAGTGACCTTTCGCTTTTATAGATTAAAAGTTCAGCTGTTGTTTTTCTGTATACCTGGACCAGTACTCCGACGACGGCGACTCCATCCCGCTGCTGCAGCGCCTGGTCGAAGTTGAGTCCAGTCTTCAGGTGCACAAAGTGGATCTCCATGGGGTACCTGCGGACATGGCTGCATTAGACTTAGGAGACTAGGTACGAGGAGCTGGGCAGACAGGTGTGGATTGCAGGGCATTTCCTAGTCTTAATCTGGCACTGATTATACGTAATACAGAATTTCTTCGATGTCACACCAATATCAGGAGTTAATAGAGAATAACTCCTGATCTTATAGGCCCGGTTTTCAACAAGGCGGAGTGGAGCGGAGCAGAGCGGAGAAGTGTTTTGAATAACTAATTATTAATTCCGCTCCGCACAGCTCCGCTCCGCGCCGCGCCGCCGCCGCTATCAAATTGTATAGAATTTGACGGTCGGTCGGACGGCCCGACACTTCTCCGCTTTACTCCGCTCCGCTCCGTCTTGGTGGAGACCAGCCTTATGGTAAGATGGTAACTTACTTGAGCCCGTTGATGGCGTGCTCCGAGAGCCAGTGGAAGTGAACTTCGGCGAAGGTGTAGTTATCGCGCAGCGGGCCGCCCGACAGCAGGCGTGGGAGTGCCCGGCACTGTGCCCGGACTGTAGCCCACTTGCTACGGACTGGTAGCTAGTGGTTACGTACTTAGAGCCCGTTGATGGTGTGCTCCGAGAGCCAGTGGAAGTGCACCTCGGCGAAGGTGTATGTGTCGCTCAGCGGCCGCCCGACAGCAGGCGCGGGAGTGCCAGCACTGTGCCTGGACTGTAACCCACTCTCTACGGACTGTAACTAGTGGTTACGTACTTGAGTCCGTTGATTGCGTGCTCCGAGAGCCAGTGGAAGTGCACCTCGGCGAAGGTGTAGTTGTCGCGCAGCGGGCCGCCCGACAGCACCGGCGCGGGAGTGCCCGGTTCCACAGCCCAGCGAACTGCATCAAAAACAACAGTTACACCACGAGTCGAGTTCGTTTATGCGCAAATTGTCAAATTCACAAATTGTCAAGCGGTCGCAATGTGCCAGATTCTCACTTTGTCAAATTCGCAAATTGCCAAATTCACAAAATGTCAAATGCGCAAATTGTCAAATTCGCAAAATGTCAAGTTTTAAAAATGTCTTTATATTACGGTTTTATGGTTTCATATTTAAAAGAAACCTTAACATTTTAATGATTANATACTTACTTACTATGATAAAGCCTATCTGAAACTTATTATGATTAGGTACTTATTCACATTCTTAATTACCTACACCCTATTTTCTTTCCCTTCCATTTTATTTTCTTGATTTTACAAAATATTCGCCTTTAGTCTATTTTCAAAGTCTTCCATCTCTATACTTATTTATTTATTTATTTATTTTATTGGGCTATCAACTAGGGCATGAATATCGGAATCTCGGAATCTCGTAATATCGGAATCTCGGACTGCGAGATCCGATATTTCAATTCCGATATTGAGCGACCCAATATCGTAATATCGGAATCAGATAAAAGTTTTAATTCAGATTTTAAACAAAGCGTTTAAACTCGCCACAACCTGCCACAAAGCCCAAAGTACATAATTGGCAAAGACCAATGATTTTCTCATGTCTCACCATCACTTTTTGTTCCACTGCAAATATTCTAATATCTTNTTTTAATGATTAAAAGTTCTGCCAATTAATTATGTAGGTACTTGATTTTTATTATTAAATCCTGAACAACGTGTCATTTTTTAAACTTGACATTTGGCGAATTTGACAATTTGCGCATTGGACATTTTGCGAATTTGACAAAGTGAGAATCTGGCAGATTGCGACCGCTTAACAATTTGCGAATTTGGCATTTTGCGCATAAACGGTCGAGTTAACTGAGCACCTGTGCAGCCATGATGCACATCGACACTCTGTTACGGACGGGGTGAACAAGGGGAGGTGTGCGGGTGAGTGCTAGGAGGGAGAGTCGCATTCCAACGAGGTTAGCTCGATCGGGTTGTGCAACACACATTCATATTGTTTCATTTTATTTGTGGCAGTCTACATCTTCCGCTCGTTTCAACCAAAAGACGTCTACTGACAAAGGCGTCCCAAGGATTTTCTCAATTCTCGTTTCCAGGTGATGATTTAATTTTAATTAAACAAAGACGTCTTCAAGAATTTCAAGACTGATTTTTTAAAATGTTAAACCACCATTTTCACCATCATTTCAGCAATGGAATATCTAACAAAGGACAACTTCAGCTAATATTTACTGTTTCGCGATTACGAGCAAACGCATAAAAGAATATGATAAATGATCTTAATGATGGATGTTATGAAAAAATCTCGCAACAGGAAGCAAAAAGCCTGCAAAACAAACGAGTAAAACCTTTCTCCATTTTCTCATATTTCAAAGGAAATGCAATGCGATCGTATTGTAATTCTAAACCTACATACATAACTGTTATGTAGTAATAAATGTTGTACATAATGCGGTATCATTATTTGTTATTTTACATACTGGTTTGTTATAAAGCAATGTCAGTTTCAATATATTTTTGCTGGATTTAGATTATGGAATAACATATTTACGTAAATTAAATATACAGGTTGATTTGCAATGTACCCATTTGTACGAATAGGTAATCAACAAGGGTGATAGCGGGCTAGTTTACTATCTACAAGTTTGATGCAATACTTGTAACTAATTCATTGTATTTAAGTTTTTTTGGGTTTACACTGATGTAAACGAAAGTTATTTTTAGTCACGATAGCCCAGCGGTGAAGTGGTCGGACTGGCCGACTCGGGATCCGATAAACGCGGGTTCGAATCCCACCGCCGCTCGACTATTGTGGTGAGCCCACTCGTAACACAAGCTTATTTAGCTTATCACGAGGGGCTAACGGGACTATCAGTAATTTGTGCAATACAAATTGATAATAATCTTAAAAAAAAGGGCAACTTCTGTCAAAATTAAACTCTAGACCATTGGTTCCCAAAGTCACGCGCGACCCCAGGGGAGGCGCAAAGGCCTTTAAAGGGGGTCGCGTCTCAAATAAGTTTGGGAACCAATGTTCTAGACCAAATTTTATACATCTAAAATACTACTGACAAGATATTTTAATACTCAGATAATCGCCATAAAGTAGGTGATAGCTCACTGTTGATCTCGGTTTGTCGAACAGTGTCGCTTTTTGGATAAAAAAGGCAAAAAGGTTTGAAAAGCTTAGCGCTAGCAAACTAGGTAATTGGCGCATAATTTTCACTTTAATACCTGTCACCTTTCTCAAATATATGCATCACAAACAGCTAGTTTTACATACTCGAGATTTAGTGCACAGTGTTAGAAAATAAGTAATAATAGTAAGTAGTAATAGTGCTAAGTATTAGAAACACTACCATCAAATACTACAGTTCAAAACTGAATTGAAACTTAATTTAGTACGGTAGATGAAAATTCGACCGTCGTACTATCAAATGCTAGAGCTCAAAACTCAATTAAGTACGATAGATAGAGCTTGTGATTGGTTGGATTTTAATTATTGGAAAATTCACGGGCCATGTTTATTAAACCTTTGAGAATTATTTTAGAATGAAATAGATATAGGTTTGTGATTAAAAGCCTTGTCTTCTTTGCACAGACTTTTTTATTAACTACGTTTAAAAATAATTGTTTTCCCTAAAGATATTCTTCTTCTAGCGATCATTATTGCTGATCATCATTTGCTTGTTAGGGAAATTCAATTTATAATTATTGTGGATTGATCGGCCTAATAGTTTAAGCTCAAATTACTTTAATCTAATTCTATTAATCTAGTATTTAAAATACTAGATAAAAATGTGAAGTCATAGGTACTCTATTACGTATGTCTTTTCCTATCACTCGACTGATATGAGTGTCGTCATAGATACCAACTATTTATTTTTATGATAGGCTTTTATCAAATTGCTGAAGAGTCTATATAAATAAGCCATAAGCTTTACTTAATTCAATTTTCTATGAAATATAGGTTTCTGTGAGCTTTCAAATTCAATTGTTCAAATGCTAGTACATTGGTATAACATGCCGTTGTAGTTTTAAAGGTACATAGGCCTCTTCATGCTGGGATCACAAGATTGGTTGTGGAAATCCTTGGGGGAGATCTTTGTCCCCAGTCTTTTGACTTCCCAACGGGACAATTTCCACTTCTCGTTCCCATCGATGCAACTCCTGTGATCTTGATCGTCAATAAAAACCCGACTAGTGAAGGTCAAGTTTGTCCCGCGGAAAGTTAAACTTTCATTGGACCCGCAACGATATTAATCAGAAGAACATAACCGAAGTTCGTCAAGGTGACAAAACCATACACCGATGGATAAAGAAAAGACATACACCGCGGACAGTAAGCATTAATTATGGGGGCCTATAGCTGAGAAGGAATGGACAATAAGTGTTCCTCCCATGGACTTCAACTGTCCTTTGTCCAGCAATCTTTTGCCTGAGAAGCAAGGGAAAATAAGTAGAGATGAAACGGATATCCGGCAACTATCCGGTAGGCCGGATATCCGGCCCTAATTTACTATCCGGCCGGATACCGGATAGTAACTCACTATCCGGCCGGATACCGGATATTAAAAAAAAAACGACAATTTCCTATTAATAAAATTGAATACATTAANACAAGTTTGACAAGACCTTGTGATACGACCGAGAATCTTTTTTTAAATAAATAAATGGTATACGATTTTTAAAACGCTGGAGTTTGCAATTAAATAGATTTTAATATGACTGGAACAGTGGAACTATTCCATTCCCGATACTTTTAGTGCAGCCCTCGTACCTATTTATTTTTATGATAGGCTTAGGTATATCAAATTGCTGAAGTAAGCCATAATCTTACTTTAATACATAGTTTTTCTATGAAATATTGGTGAGCTTTCAAATTAAATTAATTATTGCATGTTATAAAAATGCCGTTGTAATTTTAAAGGTCACAAGATTGGTTGTGGAAATCCTTGGGGGAGATCTTTGTCCCCAGTCTTTTGGTTGAGAAGGAACGGGACAATTCCCACCTCTCGTTCCCACCACTGCATCTCCTGTGTAGCCAGGATCTACAGCTTGACCGCCAATAAGAATCCAACTATAGTCCGATTTTTAATTCGACGGAATTCTGACAGCTGTCATTTTTTGACAATTCAGATGTAATAAGCCTTTTTTGCTTAGAATTAATAATAAATAATATTAAATTAAATTTCATCAAGTACAACTTACAAGAATGAACTATTGTTTGCATTGTGAATTCAATGTACACTAATTATTATGTACATTTTAGAGATTAAATAGAAAAAAACGTGTTTTTAACACAGTAAAACAACATATTAACATGAACGAAAATATGTTTTGATCATCAATCATAATTGTCGTCATCATAATCAACTTGGATTATAAAATTGGCATCTTGTTAAATTGATTATTTTATGAAGCTAAGATTTTATTAACAAAAGGATTTTCATAAAAAAGGTTTGTAACCCATGGATTATTGGGCAGGGATTCCAGTAATAGAAAAATAATTTCCCAATTTTTTTGTAACTTCCATAATATGATAATAAAAATTCAAATAACCATTTTGAAATGATCAGTACATTTTTAAGCCTTAGTTTTTCAAGTGAAACCTTAAATTCAAGAAAGGATTATTTTTTAATTTGTGAAAATGCTCTCCATTCTTAGTGGGAATGTTTCAATGTTGACAACACTTCTGAAATGTCAAAATTCCGTCGAATTAAAAATCAGAGTTTAGTCAAGTTCGTCCGGCGGAAAGTTAAACTTTCATTCGACCCGCAATGAAATTAATCAAAAGAACATAGTGTAGTAGTTCGAAGTCAGTCAAGGTCAAAAGGAAGGTTTAAATCACTTTAAATTAAAGATATACACCGCGGACAGTAAGCATCAGTTATGAGGACCTATAGTTAAGAAGGAATGGAAAATAAGTGTTCTTCTAATGGACTTCAACTGTCCTTTGTCCAGCAATCAAGCAAGAGAAAATAAGCTCTAACCCCTTACCTTTGTACCCAGTGTTCCTCGCTCTCACTTCAACATCCCCGTAGCCCCGGTAGACCAGCGGGCCCCTGATGTGCGCTTCGTGGGGGTCAGGCAGGCTCTCATGGGGTACGATGTTTATGGGGGACTGTTCCTTACCCACCCCGCACTGACCCGGCCAAGCGTCTTCGTCTGGAATAAACGCAGTGTGTATAGCAGGAGTAACAGGATGGTATAGAACGAGTACCTAGTATTCTTTTGTATTCTGCCCAAATTCAGCATTTTTTAATATCCTTGGAAATTTTACACTGCGCCACTAGTCCCAAACTGACTTCATTGAAATGTTCTTTACTTAGGCTCTTATCTTGTGTCCAAAGAGTTGATCCGTATTATGAAACGACACCGAAAACTTTCAATATTTTTAATTTAATGTACGGTATAATCTATTCCCGAGTGTGTTTAAGGTAGTAAGTACACTTGGCTGCATACACCTACAATATGAGCGTGTTGTTTGAGAATATGGGTCATTATAACAATAGCCTTATATTTGCTATGATAGATTAGTCTTCGGAGGTATAGAAAAGTTCTGCTGATTTGTGGAAAAGTTCTAATTAGGTACTTTGGAGAAGTGCAAAGAAGAAAAACTATTGTTACTACGAGAAAATTACGAGTTGTTGTAATAACAATAATAAATAATGTTTTTTTCTTGTTATAATAATTTATAACAAGAAATATTATTAATTATATAAGTAAATTAAAAAGCGTTATCGTGAAATACTTATTAAAAATATTCCATCTAAAGAATAATTGTGTACCTACACTTCATAGGCAAATAAGTACACAATGTCAGTAGGTAGGCCATAGACTATTTGCCCAAGACCCGCGTTATCTTGCGAAGCGTCTTTCTGTCGTCATGTCTTTATTAGGAGATCCTTATCTATGGTCATTGAGCTTCACTATTTATTTATCTATAGATTTGATTACAAGGTGTTATCAAGAAAGTTCAAAGTCATGGTAGACATTATAAATGGGTAATGTAAACTTCAAACTCTATTTTTTAATTTTTTGCAATAATTTATTATTTCGATAGTGTACATAATACTGTATTTTAGTTTGAAAATTTGGGTGTTGTTTGAGAATACAGCTTACTCCGATACAGCACCAAAGGTCGCGGGTTTGATCTCCTCAAAAAAAGTTAACAAAGAATTTAAGGGATTAGTATGCGGTCAAACTAAATACAGTATTGAAATGAGTGAAAGTGAAAGAAATACTGAATACTAGAAAAAGATAATAAAGAATAAGTAACGAGGGCTCCGGAGAAAGTTACAGATTTGTAGTTTTTCTTGACATTTCTGCTTTAAAAATATAACTTTATACATATAATAAGGGATAAACGATCTTAACGCCCGTATTCACAAACATTACTATGAGGTCTCACAGTACGCGTGGACGCACAGGGTGACACACGATCCAATCACAGAGCTCTATCACGCTCTATTCTACGCTGTGCGTTCGATTTGCTGCTTAACTTAAGCAAGCATCATTTGTGAATACGNGATAAATAGGAAATATCTGTTAAATGTCGAAATATTGCCAAATAAAATAGGCGATTTATTTTTCACTGATGGCCTGATGACATGATGCAACTACACTGGTCATCACAAAGATCGACCCTCCCGCGACAAGCACTTTCAAACGTAAATGCATCCCCACTTCCCACCAATATTGGCACCATTTAAAAGCCTAGTTCTAAACTTCATTTTATTAAAGGAAAGGGTTTTACCCCAAAAATGTGTCTGTAGAAGAATTCAGAGTCACTTCTTCAAAAAATAGGTAGTTACGCTTGAGCCGACTTTTATGGCTATAAAACTGTTAAGTTGGGATTAATCGCTATCCATCTGTTAAAAAGGACACGTGAGATCATTATTTGGTTTTATAACCATAAAAATTGGTCTAATTGATCCCAGAGGTGAGCCCAAAGTGAGGTCTTTTTTCAAGTTACATTTATTGTAGGTATATCGCGTTTATGTTAATCGTTTATTAAGAAATTAAATGTGTTTTTCTTAAGGATATTTATTGGGCTTTCAAATAACACCAATATATTTGGGGCACCATGACTGTGTCAGTAGAAACGAGTTTTCCTGTAAAACGTAGGTGGGCCGATTTTTGTGATGACCAGTATAGTTAAATTTTCGCTATTCAATCACACACTCACGATTGCAGCCGAAATTAAATTGATCTGCCCCCTAGACAAGTGGCAAAATCTGACATTCTATTCGGACGGATTCGATTTTCCAAAAGTGTGACTAGTCTATTCTACTAATAGACCCACTGATCGCGTTCGAAGCACCTGTGCGTCACTATACTCGTCACGACATGCAACGAGACAATGGGCCAACTATCCGGCCGCCGGATATCCGGCTATCCGGCCTAGCAGCTGGCCGGATATCCGGTATCCGGTATCCGGCCAAACAACTATCCGTTTCATCTCTAAAAATAAGCTCTAACCCCTTACCTTTGTACCCAGTGTTCCTCGCTCTCACTTCAACATCGCCGTAGCCCCGGTAGACCAGCGGGCCCCTGATGTGTGCTTCGTGGGGGTCTGGCAGGCTCTCATGGGGTACGATGTTGATGGGGGACTGTTCCTTACCCACTCCGCACTGACCCGGCCAAGCGTCTTCGTCTGGAATAAACGCAGTATGTATAGCAGGAGTAACAGGATGGTATAGAACGAGTACCTAGTATTCTTTTGTATTCTGTCCAAATTCAGCATTTTTTAATATCCTTGGAAATTTTACATTGCGCCACTAGTCCCAAACTGACTTCATTGAAATGTTCTTTATTTAAAGGCTGATCCGTATATGAAACGACACCGATTCAATATTTATATCTAACGCATGCATATCTATTCCCGAGTGTATTGTATACTCGTAGTCGTAGGTAGTACACCTGGGCTACATAGCTACATGAGCGAATCGTTTGAGAATATTATGGGTTATTATAACAATAGCCTTATGTTTGCTATGATTATACTGTATTAGTCTTCGGGGATATAGAAAAGTTCTACTGATTTGTGGAAAAGTTCTAATTACTTTGGAAAAGTGCAAAGAAGAAAAACTATTGTTACCACCTACGAGAAAATTATGAGTTGTTGTAATAACAATAATAATAATAACTAATGTTTTTTTCTTGTTGTAATAATGTATAACAAGAAATATGATTATTTATAATTGTAAAATTAGAAAGCGTTATCGTGAAATACTTATTAAAAATATTCCATCTAAAGAATAATTGTGTACACTTCATAGGCAAATAAGTAGGTACACAATGTCAGTAGGTAGGCCATAGACTATTTGCCCAAGACCCGCGTTATCTCGCGACGCGTCTTTCTGTCGTCATGTCTTTATTACGAGATCCTTATCTATGGTCATTGAGCTTCAGTATTTATTTATCTATAGATTTGATTACAAATGTTATCGAGAAAGTTCAAAGTCATGGTAGACATGGTAAATAGGTAATGTAAACTTCAAACTCAATTTTTTATTTTTTTGCAATTATTTATGATTTCGATAGTGTACTTAATACTATATTTTAGTTTAAAAAGGACAATGACCAAAAATGTATGGAGTTTGGTCCAAATGTCCACCACTAACGAGACCTATGTATGTAGCAAAATAGTCTACAAAATACTGATTCATTATAACCAAACCGCAATCAAAAATATGCTGTCAGTAAAAAGTAAAGACAGCTTACTCCGATACAGCACCAAAGGTCGCGGGTTTGATCTCCTCAAAAAAAGTTAACAAAGAATTTAAGGGATTAGTATGCGGTCAAACTAAATACAGTATTGAAATGAGTGAAAGTGAAAGAAATACTGAATACTAGAAAAAGATAATAAAGAATAAGTAACGAGGGCTCCGGAGAAAGTTACAGATTTGTAGTTTTTCTTGACTTTTCAGCTGTAAATATATAACTTTATACATATAAGAAGGGATAAACGATCTTAACGCCCGTATTCACAAAGATTACTATGAGATCTCACAGTGCGCGTGGACGCACAGGGTGACACACGATCCAATCACAGAGCTCTATCACGCTCTTTTCTACGCTCTGTGTTTTCGATTTGCTGCTTCACTTAAGCAAGCATCGTTTGTGTGTGAATACGGGCATAAGTAATTTGAAGACCTTCAGACCGATTTTATCAGCTTAAACCCCAATTAGTGGATGTAGGAAATTAATGATGCACGAAGATTATTTCTTATTTAATCTCATTATCAAATCGAATGCGTTTAGGTATAATCGAGATCTGATAAGAGCTTGCGGTCTGCTGATCGATTGGCGCACGTGCTCATAATGCATATCGATAAAACATTACTCTATATTAGTCTAATTTATACAGGGTGTCCCAGAATGGGTGAATCGAACTGATAGGGGAGGTAGCTCTACTAATGTGCTTGTAAATCAAGCAAAATTTTAAGAACCTTCTTTAGTAGAAAGCTGCAATAAATTTCGCTTACGAGACATTTGGTGGCATTTATTTATGCTTGTTAAATGGTCCTTAGATAAGGCTGCAGAAAACAGATCCCCATTAATAAACACTGGTCTAGATCTAGATGATTCCTCGCCGTGTAAAATGTTTATGTCTACTTAGGTTCGTCACTTAAAACTCGATTCCCACTTAGGCTTCAACACGGGCTGGAATCTTTTCTCAAGTGAGATGGAGGAGGGTACTTAGGTGTAAGTTGTATAAACACTAACACAGTAGTCTGTGTAAAACAAAAATAACTTTTACTAGGTTTTCACACAGTTTCAGCATACTCGTAGGTACATGGATGGATACTCTATAAAAAGGGAGAGAAGATCGGAACGTAAGAAAATAATTTAGGGTATTTTATTTTGATAATATTATGCAAGTATGATAATTTGTCATTTGTATAGAACGTGCAATGTGCATCCTGTCATTTTCCTTTAAAGTTGATTAATTATTTATTTACAGCTTTAGTAAAAGTCTTGATTGCTCACTATCTTTAGAAATGAAAACCAATATTTATTTTTCTTTTTAAACAATCGGATATCGCGAAACTGATATCTTATTTCTTGTATTGTTTAAGAAACATTTGGTTCAGAGAATTGAAATAGGTATTTTGTTTTGTAACGAAGAACCAAAAATGAAAATGAAGACTTGAACAAAATAATTATTCTCACATTTTAACAATATTATGGCATGCAAATACTAAGGCTGAGTTGGACCACCTAACTTTGACCGTAACTTTATCGATAACCGGTGTATTTTGTATGGAGTTTGACAGATTTCTGACGTTTGTCAAAGTTAAAGTAAGATGGTGCAACCCAGCCTAAGTAAAAATACTAACTAGCAAAAAATGGGACACTAGTATAGAAAATAATTCCAAAATATCAAGGTAGGTATCTATGTATTTATTTTTGCCTATGTAATTTTAGTAAATAATTTTAGGTACTTACCATGATGAGACCAATCTCTGGCGACGGATAAACCTGCCGGAGAGAAAGCGCGAATAAGATAAATAATCTTGCCTTTTTAAATGATTTTGGATAACACATAATTTATCTTTTTTTTGGTAGTTATTGCACTGCCTAAAAGTGTTTTATAATCGATTATATTCTATTAATAATTTCAAAATATGATTAAATAAAGATTCTGAGATGGCTTGTTTAATTAAGCTTTAACCTTCTGGAAAAAAAAATGTAGTCAATGTTTTCATCTTCTTGCAAAAATGTTACCATGTTTTTTTTATATTTTAGGGCAATTTCACCATTAATAACCACAATTTAACCACTTCCACAAATTCTAAATTATTTCTCTTTTTTTATCATACCGAATAATAGAATGTCACAGAGCTTTTCTTACCTTTTTGACGACAAAACGGATAAGTTATTAGACATCATTATGTTTACCTAATTTGGGTAGTTATGGCTAAGTAACTTTCTTAATCAAAACTAAGTCCAAGCAAACATTTTTATCAATTACTAGCTGACCCGGCGAACTTCGTACCGCCTTAGCGTAGAGATTTTCTTAATATTTTTTTCCGTAAGAACCATCCTTGGACTTCCACAAACATTAAAAAAAAAGAATTATCGAAATCGGTTCAGCCGTTCACACGTGATGCCGTGACAACGCGAAACGGGTTTCATTTTTATATATATAGACTAACAAAGATCGTGAGATGTTTCCATTGCGCTACGTATTTATTCTTTGTAACATTCACTATTTTTAGTGACCGACCGAATATTCGTTTTCGTTTTCGTTTTCGGCCATTTTCGGCCAAAAAATGGTCATTCGGCCATATTTTCGTTTTCGGCCAAAAACCAGCCGAAGCTTCGGCCAAACCGAATATCAAAAATACGTGAATAAGATGGGGACGTTTATCGTTCCGATATCTTCGGGAGTGAATCTGATGCACTCATGGTTCCAATCAGACTTGAACGGACGCGGTATTGTCACACTCTTTTGAAGTTTTGAAGTGAGGTTACGTTGTAAAGGGTTTCCAGCGAAAATTTTCCAAGTTAAAAATTGAATACAAATAAAACCAAAGAGTTTTCATTAAGTTTAATTGTTTCAAAGTAGAGTCTAATGCGGATTTGAAATACGCCATGAGTCACTGGTCGNTATAGTAGGTAAATAATAAAAAAGAAAAGGTAGCCCTTATGGGGCACTTTACATTTGTCTCCTTATCTTTTGGGCCCTACCAGCGCTTCGAGACAAACATAATGGCAAGTGCTGAGAAGAAACGCCGGAACAACTATTGTTTAGGTACTCAAAAATAAAAACGTGTCCGCGAGGCAAAGAGGCGAGGATGCTGGCTGCATTTCCTAGCTGGATAGCAATACTAGCCTTTGTGCAAGGAAAGAGCCAGCATTCATTTTTTCCGAAATTTTGATTAATTTAGTGGAAATGGTCCGGAACAGTAATTTATAGTTAAATAACTCAACGCGATGTTGTGTTTTTCTTTTCACTGTTATCACTAAGTTTGTAAGCAGTTAAGTATTGCTAGCAGTTTAATTACTTGCTTTAATAGTAATAAAATAATAACTGCAACTTTTTGATGTTGAAGTTATTGCCCGTTAAGTTAATGATTAATTATTTTAATTGACTTGTTCAATGAACTTAGTAAATATTTATGTACTCACGTAGAATTAAGATATTATTTACTTTATGTTGTAATTTTGAACTTGCACATAACACAATCGTTTAATTAGCTCACCTGTCAAACTTAACAAAACAATCACAGTCGAAACCATTTTTTATTTTTATTTATTTTGAATTAAACTTTTTATTGAAAACTTTTTAAAGTCGACTTGCACACTCGCACCCTTTCGCGCCAACTGCGCCTTGACCACGCACTGGCAACTTTTTATACATTTTTTGTTTTTAAAAAAGAAAAGTTTTCGCGCCACGCGTCTGTGGCCGCCCGCGCGGGTTGAACATTGAATTTATCTGTGGTAGCCCACCTCAGGCGTGCGGTATTGGCGGGAAAATTGGCAAGCGCGAAGGTCTGCTTTTCCGGCCGATGCTTGAGATTGATTATAAAATTCACTGATTAATCGATACATAACGGAAGGAACAATTGTTTGATAACTGCTACTGTTTAAAGGTACTTTGTTAATGCTCATGAATTTGTTAATGACCACCTTGTACATTAGGGCACATATTATTTACAAATTATCCGAACCTGAATCGATTTTTAGGTAAGCAAAGTAACACTACATTGCTCTTCAATCTCAATTCTCAATCGATGTAAATTGATTGAAATCGATCATTAAGAAACATGAAAATTAGTAAATAGGCCAATGAAAAACGTAAAGCGTTGGTAGAGTAGAGCATAAGTGACCACTAAGGTAAACCGTAATCACACGGTTACGGTTTTAGTGCATCTGAGAACCATCCAGAAATCGCCTGGTTATCGCGTGTGTCTGAACCGGGGCTAATAGTTAGTTAGATTAGGTGAACTCTAGTTAAACTACCAACTTTTAAATACAAATAATAGAACAAGTAAGCCATTAAAATTCAAAGTTCCATAAATACATTACGTCTGGTAATTGAATACGATAAGATTTGCAATGATTATTAGAATGTTATATTTTTATCATCAGATATATTAGTCTGGTTTCGATATAAAGTAAAATTACGTGAGCACTTTATCAATTACGTTTTAATTATTGAACTTTGAATTTTACAAAGAAGATAGCAAATTCTCTTGCAAGTTTCGATTCGATTAGAGAAACTAGTGAGCTTAAGCGAACTTTATTGGTCAAAGTCAAAGTCAAAGTCAAAATTTCTTTATTTGTTTAGACTAATAAATAGTTCTTAAAAATCGTCATTTTGCTCTTAAGGAGCCTCTACATGTCTCATAATCTTTTTACCCTACCAGCGCTTCGAGACCAACATTTGGCAAGTGCTGAGAAGAAGCGCCGCAACAAACTCAGTCACCACTGTCTGCCGGTTAATATAAATAAATAGAAATAGCAGTAGTAGGTACATTCGATTCAGGAGCAGTTCACTGAATTTACCATGCATTCTTGTATAGTGTATCTTATAAGAATGGGTATACAAAATTGCGTGGTATATTAAACAAGGTAGTGACGTGCTAATATCTAGACTTACAGATTACATACTTAAATACTAGTAGAAATGACTCGCATACATAAGTTGGAATAATGGTAGTCTGTGCCTGTAAGTTATTTTATTTTACTTTATTTTGAAGAGATGATTGGGACGAAAAGTGAATAATATACATAATTGTAATAATAAAATAAGTCATGTAACTAATTACGCCCACGACGCTTGCGATGACCATGCCAGATAGGGTAATGCGTAAACTTGATTTTGACAGTGAGTGAAGGCCGTTACTTACTCTTCGGGCATCGTATTCTACAGTTTATTTTTATCTTCTTCCGAAATATTTTATTGGATTTTTAACAACATTTAATTTTTGTCTGTGTAACGTATAGCATTTTTGTTTGCCATTCTGCAGGACTGTGTGTCCCATGAACTTTGTCGAGTTCGCGTTATGCGCAGGTCACTCCTAATTTTCTAATAAAAATCACACTAGGGATGTCGATTTATGTAGAGCTGTTTATTTTTATTAAGGAAGCTGCACTTATTCTATTTAATCCTGTATGAAAACTTAATAAACAGATAACTAGTGTTTTTTTTTGGGTTTCGACCTTTTTTATCAGTCGATAATGGTTGGTGATGTGGTGGATTCTGTAGTGTCGAATACCTACTTTATAATCTCGGAAGTATACACAGTTTCCAAGGTAAATAATTACTATTCTGATTAATTTAGTTGTTGGTCATTAGATTAACTTAACCTTCACTGTTTAGGATTTATATTGGTGAATAGGCTAGTGTTAATAGGAGGCTTTACAGGATTGCTAAACTAGTGACGGGAATAGTCTCAATTCTAGTTCGATATGGCGCGTGTAATGAATCAAAACTAAGCTCTATGATATTTTGCTAATTTGCCAAAGATAAGTTTTGTTGTCCGAGATTCAGATAGTCGTCGGAATTTTCGTCAGTTTGATTTATGTTCTATAAATTCGTTTATCGTGTGTTTAATTTGCTCAACAAATGTCAAGGAGTCTCAAGATAAGTGTGAGGTGTGTGCCATGCCCACAAAATACGTGGAATGAATATAGCGCGCAAAGTGCTACCTACCAGCACAGGCGTTTTGCGTATAGAGGCCATGACTGAGACGTATCCCGTTTTTTTTAAATGGTGCGTGACTTCTAACTTACCACTTTAAACTTTTATACTATCTACTACTATGATTACTACTAATCTACTATCATGATTTCTGTATAAATGCTCCATTTCATATGAACCTAATGAACTAAGTACCTAAGGAAGATAGTGCATGCTATTTGGCGTTCTTTAGTCCTTCTTCCGCGTGCTATTAAGTCCAGCAGTGGACTGCCATAGCCTGAAATGATGATGATGATGACGACTAGCTCAAATGCCCACAACGTCATTCTTTCAATGATTAGATATTACAAAACCTAGCTCTGTAACTGGGTTTTCTTCACTACCTAAATTATGCACGATTTCGTTCTTGAAAAGAAAATCTGTTTAATTTACAACTAGAATTTTGTGATAAATTAATAGGAATTTTATTGTTACCTTTTTATTATTAATTTTTCATACTAGAATTAATTATATGAGTAGTTTATAGTTTCAGTTGTTTTATATCTTTTCTTACGCATTTTATCATTATCTTAAATAATAACTGATCTTTATCTTGCTCTACCATCATTCGGCAGAACATACAGCAGGTTTACTAGGGTAGGTACAATTTATTTTAGACTCTATATTGTCGATATATCCGTTCACGTGTTTCCTGACTGTCATAGACACAAATAGACGTACAGTAGGTCCCGGTAAGGTCACTCTATGCTAGACTACAATGCTTAGTCACACAATATCGTAGACTACTTGAATGACTTTATTGACCTTTTGAAGGTTCATTCATCATGAATAATAAAGACAAATTATTTATTGCCTTATGTAAAACATATTTATTATAATTTCAAAATGTTTGGCTAAATATAGTATAATTTTAATTAATAATTGTTTAATACGACGACTGGTCAAGCGCAGGCTCGATTAGCGCAGCATAAAATATGCGATTACTTATATTCCAAGCTGTATATCTACATTTGCCTTTTTGTGTTTCATGAGCTTTTTTTCAATATTATAAAAGCTATTATGAGTGGTTTTGTTCGCCAATTTGTCGTTTTCGGAACGCATTTTAAGGCATCAGAAACCTTTCGATGACCCCTAAACTCTGAAAAAGTTTGTTATATTCCCAAAGGATAAGCCTAGGCGCAGACCACCGACTTTTAGTTGGGCCCTATTTTAATTTGTATGAAGAATCGGCCGATAGCAAATCGGCGTAATGTGCGCACTTCCATACAAACAAGCCCATACTGAATAACTGCCCGACTAAACTATCGGCCGACGAAAAATCGGTGGTCTGCGCCTAGGATATGAGAAGAAGATCTATACGATTGTATACTTAATGATACAAAGCCAACATTTTAAAAGGTGTTGTATGTCTTCCAATCTGTTTCGCAATTGTCCAGGATGTAAGTCTACTCTTCCTTTTTGTATTATGTCCCATGCGTTTGTCTCGGCGCCCTTTCCAAGGCAATCGGTTGATTCACCTCTGCGCTTCCATGTCGGTCATAAGTGCGTGTCTGCAATTAGTGTCGAGTGACATTCATTTATAACCCGAGTGCAGTAAAGAGAGCCATGTTTTTATATTTTCTTCTTGTCGAGTCGTCAAAAAACCTACACATCAGCCCAAAACTCCGCCACAAGGGTGGCGTTGTCAGTGGCCTTCATTAAATCTTCCTGCGTGCAGTTGTGTGGGCACGCAGGGCCGTTGTTTTTATATGCGAATCATAATTCAAGATTACAGCATATTATTTAACAATAAAGCGTTGGAATTTGTACGTTTGGTCTAGATTTCTAGAACGATCACAAAAATATATTTTTGTATGTGAAAACTTAACTGAAGTGTATCGATTAAGTCAACCATAATTATCATGAATTTCTATTGTATATGCTCAAACGCATGTCGAAGTATGAAACACATACTGAAAGTTCCATCTAACGTGACAAAATAAATTCAAATTTACTGTACAGCAAAATGTGGCTTAAGAAAAGGAGATATGGTATAATACCTTTATTTTATTGATATTTTATGCTAGATTGGCACTGGGTCACGTGGCAGATTGTTTTGTGCTCGAGATCATGCGCGTAGAGTCGCTCCAAGTCGTATAGAGTCCCACTGAGTGCAGACTCAATCGCACATAACAACATTATCGTTATTAGTTATCATCAACAGCTTCTAGAAATCCACTGCTTGACATAAGACTCTCCCATAGAATGTTACAGCAAGCGGTTCTCTGAACGTTTCGCGCGCTCGTAAAATTTTCAGGCTGAAATCCACGTAAAGTCGTGGGCAAAAACTGGTACAAAAATGACAATTTTAGTTCTAATAGTAGTAGGTACCTAAGTAATAGACTTAGGTAGGTACTTATTGTGCCATGCCACCTCTCACTGCGTTTAATTCCTGAAAATCTTGGCTCTTCACGTCTAGTACTTATTCGTAGAGACGTACTTGTAGAGACATGTAAATTGATAAATCGATCATAACAATAATATTGCCCTATTATCGCCACTAATGATTATTTTCGTAACATGAAGTAGGTACCTACTTTAAGTACCTTTTTATGTCAACAATAAAGATAAACTGGACTGAAATTATTAACGTTTGGAAACATGACTCTAGCAACTTAGTTTCTTACATTTAAGGGATGTTTTCCATTTCTTTTAATTACAGGCGGTGGTTATTAAAGAAAAAAACCTATACTTAAATGGCTAATCCATTAACAAGTACTATT